AGACTACCAAAGATTTGCAAATGCTCAATTGGAAGTTTGGGGGAGAGCAACATTTGGGTGGGCTTATTGGACTCTTAAGAACGTCAATAAGCATTGGAGTCTTGAGTGGATGATAAAGAATGGTTATATAAAGCTAACTTAGGTTGTAACATCAATACATGCATGGCGCCTCTATACTGTAAGCTAAGCTTAATTCAATCTGGGTCCCTCTGATGTCCAAATTATTCAGAATCAATAAGAACCACTGTGCTGCTAGGATCTATTAATTATGTGACATGACAGCAATAAAAGGCATTTTATGACTGTATCAATAAACAATAACAGTTTCTCAAAACTTGAAAAACATAAACTCATGTTTATGGAATTGAAGGGTTGAAGCATACAGGTGAAGTGTAAAATCCCAGCAAGCAAAGGGAAAACAAGTAGAATTCTGTAGTGCGTTAGATCAAATTGGTTAATTTAATCCAACAGTTAAAAAATAGGGTCTTATCTGAAAACCTCACTACAGAATGACTCGGAAACCAAATGCATTAGTCAAAATAGGAGCTCTATTGGGCTAAGTTAGACAGACCAAAACCATTTATTCCCCTACCGCTAAAGAACTTTTTTTCCTTTTCTATTCCCTACAAAAATAGAAGCTATATTGGATGTCCATATTTTGGAACCCGTTCAACTTTCAACTTGCTGAACCTGATTATCTTATGCTCTTTCATCTTATATATGAGTAATTTTTCAGTTCGATGGTAACACCTAAATTAATACCGTACTCTAAATTTATGACATATCAACAATATATATCGTTTGTCTATATTATAACACCTATAGATTGTGTGATTGTGTAACGATCACACCTTATAATGACACATTGCATCAAACACTAACAAATAAACATGTAGGATCCACTTCTGTTTGATGAACTTTACAGTTTTGTATCGTAATGGTTTGGATATACACAAAAAGGATTTAACAGCGCGACGCACCTAGCAGCTCTATACACAAAAATCTAGCCAAGTTGCCAGTTGGGGCTGTTTTGGATTTGTCATGATTTCAGCTACCAAAATTCTAACATATTCATTTCATTCACTCTCTTGGATTCGTTTTAAGTATCTATTTATTGATTGATACCTCAATAAGATCAATCTTGTACTTACTTTTATTCATGAGTAGTGGAAATAAATAGAATAGAATAAATAGTTTATTTTACCTAAGAGAATCAATTGGTAGCCCAGCAGAGTGAAACATGAGGGGTAATATATATTATATATGGTACTACTGAATCACACATGATGAAAACCTTTAGGTGCTTCCAATTATGTGTTTGTTGTGTGCATCAAACCTTTTACCCCACAAATGGGATTTGAGCAACAAACTCAAGTGGTGTCCCCATTGCAATTGGAAATGACAGTACAGGCAATAATTTAGGTATAGCCTTTACACAGGCATCAAAAAGTTTTGCTCGTGCCCAACATGTTGGTGGGAAACACATCTTTTATTAATCCATCAAAAACCAAATTTAGAATATATTTCTACTTACCTCTTCTTTTTTTTCATCTTAGAAAACGTCATATACGTGCAATTATTTATCTGAGAGATTCAAGTAAACTCCAGATACGTGTAATTACTTGTAAACCACGTGTATAAGATATTTTTCCATAAGTAGTTGAGTGAAGATATAATTTTGGAATGGTCGGTTTTGGTCCGGTGCTATAGTGTTATGTTATGGAGGATATTTTGGTTATGATGGTGAGTGCTCTACTCTTCTTACTAGACATTGAAATGGAAGCAACTTACTTGTAAATGCCCACTTGGTGAAGATATTCGTAGGTGCTAAGAAAGCTCTTTGCTTAACAAGTTTTAGGCCAATTATTTAAAAGAAAACTATAGCTAGCATTTGGACGTCTCAACTTTATGTGAGCTGTTCACATGTTGTGTAGGCTCCTCCAAAGTTTAGATGGACCACTGGTATAAATCGGTCCCACATTCAAGAGGCCTGATGTGCATGTTCATAGTGATTTCTACATCTGGCAATGATTATGAGTATTGGTCAATTGGGACACATCCAGCATCGATTTTAACAGCCATAGAAAATCTGGCACAAAGAGCTACAAAACTTTCTTCCACCATGAAGTGACAGTTACCTCTTTTGTCAATAGTGCCATTCAATTTCTCCATCTATATCGCACTCTTACAAGGATTGGTATAATAACTATAAACCCAATTTCACAAGAGGTTTCAAGGCATGAGGTTTCGAGTAGTCAATTCAGTTGTTTTAGGTTTGAATTCAAAAAATATCTAACTTCAATTAATATATAATTAAAATTTTGTAATCAACGATCGAGGGAGTAAATCGTAGTCATTTTTTCTACTACCAAAATAAAATTAGTAATGAATTTATAGTGTGAGATAAATATTCTACAACTAAAGCTACAAGTCTTACATCAATTTTTTTTATATATAAATTTTTTATTTTTTATTTTTTGAAAAAAACTAGAAGTCTTACAAGAAATTCATTTTCAACCCATTAATAATAAGATCATTTTTCTTCCCTTTTGACATTTTTTTCTTCGAGATAATTATAATTTTCATTTGTTTACTTATAAGAAAAGCATAGACAGAAACACACTTTGTCTTGGAGTAGACGTGCATGAAATGAATTGAGGAAGTCTCTGCAACAAGGCAAGTCAGAGGAAGTCAGAATGCTCTATACAGAATGTCGATAGACAAAGCCATTCCTGTATTAGCTACATTAATTGTTAAAAGAAAGAAAAAAAAAAAAAAAAAAAGAAAAAAAAAAAGGGTTAAAAATGAAGTGTTGGCCTAAGCAAAACCTTGTTTGTAGTGTGTAGAGTTAGAAAGGAACAATATCTAAATGAAAAGTAAATACGAGAGATATTAATTCCTTAAGAAAAAGTGAACAAATAGAATATTATAATTTTGCATATGTTCCCCTTCTGCTAATTAGGCTCTGGGCACGATATGCAAATAATCTTATTTGAATGTCACTTGCTATAGCATTTTGTGCATATTGTGTTAAGAGCATATTCTCCACATTAAAAGAATAGGCTGAATTCCCATATAAAATATATGCCACTTTATATTCGATATATCTTCACTCTTCACTATTAAAACCTCTATTGAAATGGTGACGATTTCATGAATAATATATGTGTAATCACGTCATAATGGTGACGATAATCACACAAACAACAAAAGGCATGCAGTTTGTACCGTTAATAGCAAATATACTGTGCATTTGTGTTGAAATCTCTCTTCCTTAATCTCACTTGTATTAAACCCAAAAAAAAACTACAATGATTCACACTTTTGCTCTCTTAAATCCTATAAGATCGATACAACTATATAAGTGTTCATTACAAAGGAAAAAAACTAGAACCATAAAAAATAGTTTACATATTAAATTAAACTAGTTAAAGTAAGCAAATTTTTACAAATATCACCCCTTTAGCCCCTTTCTGTAAACCCTAATTCTTAATCTCTCTCTCATCCTTGGTCATCCTCTCTTAGTGTCTCTCTTAGGGTTTCCTTATCCTAAAAGTCTTATTTTTATAGGACCTAGGTAACAACTTCAACTGAAGTAGGAAGCTAAATCTTTTTTTAACCACATTGCAATGATATATTTACATTTTATTGGGACCTCCTTCAAGACTGGTGCATCAGTTTACTTGAATACCACGATATGAGTAGAATTAAATAAAAAGGTATTATTTTGAGCTACTTGGATATTTCAATTGTATGTTGTACAGGGCAAGTGGGCAGACCAGGGGTTAAGCAAACTCCGTAAATAGTTGGACTGAGCGTGCAACTCCGAAAATGACATCATAGGTGTGGTAACTTTTTTTTGGTAGTGTATACTGTATTTGTTAATATTTGAAATAAATGAACCAAGAATTTACTACTATGAGAGCACCGATAATGTTCTCAACCTAACTATTTGCATAATTCAATGGTTTGAGATTTTACGACAACATGCATCGTGTATCATGTATTGATAGTAAAACCACATATTATATATTTTATTTTATTTACACCGTAAGCTCAACTAAAAGGGTAACAAATTGCGTATATATATATATATATATATATATATATATACTTTCTCCAACTGCTTAATTCAACTAACCAAACGAGCCGTAGAAGGACTAATACTTTTCTCCCTAGCTACCATACTTTTTCTTTGACCTTTTTTTTTTCGGGTTTGAAAATGAGATGTTTTGTGATTATTTATTTATTTTATACAAGTTTGATTGCGAATTCATATGACTATTTTGTAGGCATTGTACAACAATGTATAGCATTGAACCTTAAATTACCATGAATCTGATATTTTTAAACCTTAAAATCTTATTAATTTGATTATATTATTGTGCGTTGCATATGCAAGTATTTAGGATAATTCCTTGTGAAAATACCATTATTCTTTTTTACTGTTTACCTCTCTTCTCGAACATTATTTTTCACCGTCCACTAAATTAACTCCACCATATCCAAAACAAAATGAAAATTCTGACAATTGTCAAGCAAGTATTACGTGTCAAATTGAGAGCACGTTTAGGAGCTTTTTAATGTGACAAGCAACAAGTACTGCAGCAGCCAGTAAAAATCACTGTAAGTGACTGCAAGCTTTGGAGAATGAAAAGAAAAAGGAAAGAAAAAAAAGCATCCGAAGCTCCCATTTGCCCTAAAAATAAACAAATCAATATCAAAATCAAATAAATTATACACTAATGACAATTAGGGTGCTGACGTGGATTTCCCATTTATGCAAACAATAACAACTCACTCACAAGTCACAACTCTCAATCAAATCTCTCTTAAGCACTGCAACAACCAACGGTCCAGATTCACTCCACAGTTTCTGGCTCCTCTTTATCTTCCTCTCCTTCACTCGCTCTAGGCCTTCCTCTCCCTTTACCTCTCTCTCTCTCTGTAGCAGTTGTAGCCTTGTGGGTTGTTAGAGAAAGCAGCAGAGAAGAGAAAAAATGTTGTTGGGGAAGAGACCAAGGCCTCCAATGAAGAGGACCACAAGCATGTCAGAGATCACCTTTGATCTGAACACCATCAGTACTGAGGCAGCTCAATCTCAACCGTCCGATCCCAACAACCCTTTTAACCCTTTGGCCTTCTGGGGTGGTGGCGGTGGTGGAGGTGGGCTTGATGGGTTGGATCAAAGGCTCATGATGAAGATGGCTTCACCATCACCACCATCACCATCATCACCATCACCAAGAAGCCACAGAAGGAACTCGGCTGATTTTGTAGAGACTGCCCACTTCTTGAGGGCTTGTGGTCTCTGCAAACGCCGCCTTGTTCCTGGCCGTGATATTTACATGTACAGGTAATAATTCTTCTTCCCGAATGAAATCTTAATTATTGCAACCAACTAGTTCTTAGTCTAGTGCTATTTCTCTCGACTTTCTTGGTCGAAGTTTCATATCTAAATCTCTATCCTCCAATGAAAATAAAAATCTTAGCATCCAATTCCTCGCATACTTCAATTTTTCAATCAGTCTCGTGTGACCAGTTTTGTGAGAGAAAAGTTTGTACCTAAGAATTTCTCATCTCGTTTCTCCTCGGAATTTTTATTTAGAAAGAAAATATTCAAGGAAGTACTTTAATTATGGAAACCCAGTTGGTTATTTTTGGACTAAGTACTTTAAGTACATGGATTTGTTTTTCACTTTTCTGTCAAATTAAGTTACTTTCACGGTCTTTTCTTACTTGTTGTTTTTACCTTTTTTGGGTACTATTATTACTTCCCAGATTGTTTTCTGATCTTTTTTGGCTTATTTTGCCAGGTTTTTCAATAAATACGCCAAAATTAGGAAACCCTCTATTTATTTGTGTGTAACCTTTTTTTTTGTCCCTTTGACTCATTCTTTTTTAACCTGTAATTTGATTTTTGCAGAGGTGACACTGCTTTCTGCAGCCTAGAGTGCCGGCAGCAACAGATGAACCTTGACGAGAGGAATGACAAGTGTTGTTCCACCGCCGGACGCCAAGTCTCCACCAAAGGCGAAACCGTCGCCGCCTTGTAGAGTCCGTCGTCAACCCGGAACACAGCACCATGTTTGCGAGCTTTGCTCATATGAATATATAAATAGGTTTGGGGGGGTGGTTTTAGGTACGTTGCATGAAAATGGGAAAACCTTGAAGCTTTCAGTCTTCATTAATTATGTGCTTGTTTCAAGCAAAATTAACTTCAAGTGTTGTACTTCATTTTCATGGTTTCCTCTCTCTTGTTTTGTTTTAGGTAGTAATGGAAGTAAATTGCAAATTTACAGAGTTAATTTAACTTCCTTTAGTATATTATCTCTCTCTTCTTCTTTTTCTTCTCTCTCTTTTCTGGGTTTTTATCGGCATAAACATGTTATGTTTATGTAATATATATGTACGAGTGGTGCTGCAATTTAGTCAGTAAATCGATGCATATGTATGGCCCTTTTGAAGCTTGAGTTTGGATGGTAAATTTTCTTTTTGTTGGTGATGAAGAATTGGATGGTATTGGATTTCAATAGATAAGTGTACGTTTAAATCAATGGTAATAATTCATTCTTTTTTGTTGTGGTACGACAAGTAATTTCATCTTCTCCCCTGCACAAAAAAACAAAGTCATGGTTTTAGTAAATATGAAATCAAATTACAATTAATTCTTTTCAGGAATTCTTTTCTATACTCCAATGATCATTTCATTTGTAAATTGATCTACATCGCACTATGAATCATAAGCACTTATAATCTGTGTGGCGATCATAATTTCCCATGGAAACACTAGCTTCAGCACACCACCTGATGTAATTAATCAAAACTGATTTATGATACATACAAGTATATATATATATTGTATTTTTCTCATCTAAACTTTTTTTTTTCTTCATCAAATAGAAATTTTATTAGATAAACTTCAATCATCTAATCTTAATGTCACTCGAGTTAGAATTTTATATATGGTCAATTTTCAACCACTAAGTATTTATCATGTTCACAATGGTTGAATTAAAAGTCATGCAGAACATTATTCTTTCTTAAGGATGAACGCATCGAGAAAACTCATTTAACTCCACTTTGACCTCATCAATTTTATTGAACTTGACTCTTTAGACTTAGATTTTATCTGAGGTTCTAAAAACCCTAAAATCTAGGTTCTGAATGATGATTCTACACCCTAAACTATTAAGCATATCAATAAATAAGGTTAAAGTTGAAGAAAACTGAATAATCGTTAGATTTTTGTATTTTGTATTTATTTTAAAAGATGCTATCTTCAGGTAAGAACTTAAGGGCCCGTTTGATAACTATTTTATGAGATTGAGAAGGACAATGAGAGGAGAGAATGTGAGGGAGGAGTAACAAGATTGTAAACAAAAACTAAAAACTGAAATCTATTTCAAATTGTTTTTAGTTTTGTCACTCCTCCCTCTTATCATCTCTCTCAATCTCATCCTCATTTCTATTTTCACTCTCATTTTCCTCTATATGCTAGCACAAAAACTAAAAACTAAAAATAAAATGATTAGCAAACGGCCACTAAGATTTAAAAATATGTAATTAAGAAAATGATACACTAATGGTTTGAATGTGATACAAAATGAGTATCTTTGTTACTCTAACACATAGATGTAGGGCCACATGTGGTGTAGGGTGAAATTTGATGACCCTAATATTGATATATTTAAGAAGATTCTGTGTGCATGACATAATAAGAGTCCATCATTAGTGCTTCTATAGCAAGTGAGCGAGGAATCTATGGCCGAGTCAGCTTTGCATGGAAATGGGCCCACACTTTGCAAAATATAAGAAAATTAATATTACCAAATTGATTTGAAAGAGAGATTCATTTTGAAATATCGACATTGAAGACTTGATTATCTCCCACTCCCATACCATACCAGTCTTCTGATTCGATCTGGACTGGGGAGAGGACCCAACCCAAAGGTGGGACCACTCTTATAAATATACTGGCCCCACATTTTGTTGTCTCGTGGGCCCCAACTATTGGCTCCACATGATTTCTTGATTTAGTAAGACCAGCCATGTGAGCAAAGAGAGAGAGAGAGAGAGAGATCGACAAAAACTCTCTGTTGTGTTTTTCTCGCGATATTTCGGGCCTATGAATGAAGAACGAGTGGATTTACAATGATAGGTATGATGTGAAACTACTAAGTTTTCCTTGGGGACCAGGGACAGCTGTTTTTGTTTTTTGTTTTCATTTTTCTGGTTCAATTTTGAACTTCCTTTTTTGTTTGTGTTAATGGAAGATGGATCATATGAAAATCAGTATTTTTGGCATTTTCAACTCCAACAGGGAGGCAATGCGCCAAAGTATTGAATTCATTTTGAAATAATATTGATTGGCAGATTCTAGGGTTTAAAGGTTATTGTAAGCAAAAGCAACTCATGCAAGGGCATTTGTCAAGTCGTAATGAAAAGTGATTTTAAAAAATTAATGCACCAACGGAATATGTCAAATAACTTAATTACCTCTTAAGTTGTACTAAAGCTTGCAAATTTAATAGTAAAACACTTATCTCAAACGCAATAGAAAAGCATGACTCTCCGATAATGTGACAGGATTTAATACATCACGTCGGAATGTCATGTAGTGTATCGGTTACACATGACCATTTTTCTCATCATCTTCTTCTATGAATATTTGTTGTATTTTTTATATATAGTTCACATATGCATGACACTATTCTCTAACAAGATATATAAAATATTTGTGTCGTTACACTGTTAATATGCAGTTCACATTCGTGTAATGGTCATATTTTTTATTTGTACGTAATCCAACGATCATAATTCTCTTTCAAGAATTATTCATTGAAAAAATAAGTTAAATCCACATTTTTGTTTCACTTTATTTAATAACCTTTATTTTTTTTATTACACATTTTTAAATGATCAAATAACTCCCAATACAAATTATATTATTATTTTTACAGGGACGAATTAAAATACATACATAGAAAAATGGTTTAGCCTAGTTTCGTGATTCTAACATCTCCTTTGAAGTATGTTTCAATATTCTTAATGGATTTAGTCCTTCATATTTTTAGCATACATATATTGAGCCTGTCTCTTACCTCAAATCAAAAGCAATAGACTTGATCTTCAAGAAACAAGTTGTTCAAATTAAATTGCTTAGGACATGACACAAGAAGAGTATTTTACAGCAGTTAGTGCAAAGTCACACAAAAAAGCTCAACTACTGCAACCCTAATTTAATCTTCAAGGAATGCAATATACTTTTATATCTAACCCAAGATTCCAGGTATTCATCTCATATACATGACACGTAAAATGTGAACCTCTAACTCAAAATCAATTGGCAACTGATGACGAGGTACAAGATTTTTAAGCATACTGCAAAACTTCCATTCTCCAAAGAAGTTTCTTGCTACTCGAATGAACTTATTTTATATCTCTGTTTAGATTCAGTCAAATGGTAAACTCCAAAGAAGTTAATATACTTTGTGTACGTACTAAAGCTAGGGCACCAATTATAAGATGCACAAACATACATAGGTGTACCCCAAAAATAAATAAATTATTACTGAACAATGTTTTTATATAAGATCTAGGACAGCTGAAGAAGATATTACTATATTTCTTTTGAAGGGTCAATGGCCCTCAAATTGGCCAAATGGGGGACAGAACTATTGGGATCGAATAATATCAAATGCGTTTAGGAGATATTTTAATGCTTTCTCTCTTTGCTTGTACACATAAAACAATTGCTTCTCACTCTTCAAGTATGTGCGGCATACAAGTATACATACCTGTACTTTCATAATTAGATTATATTATTTGCTTCCCAAATGTGTGTTTGTGTGTGCTTCTTCACATGACCAATCTTGAAAAACAAAAGTGTAAGCAATTAAAATAAACGAACACACAGAGTGGCAATATTGTAATCTGTCGACACCTCCCTGACCTACTTGATGATCTTTCAAAAAGAAAGTAATATTTGTAATAATGGAGGTTTTAGTTTCTTATGGCAAGTTGTGCCTCGTAGCCCTCCATGAGATTATACCTAGTTTAAGCCTTGGATATTATTTTTAATAAATACAAAATTTCCTGTCTATGCATAATCACTCGTAAAACACATATATCAGGTAAATTCAAATATTTTTGTATACGTGAAGTCTCGTACTTCAAATTTATGAGTTTACAATTCATCCTCTATATATTCGCCATTTTATTACTAAATCACCCGTGTTGATTAAGCCTCTTAGAAATTAATTTCCGAACTTTTGACTAGACGTTCCAAATTTTGTTGACTAGATGGTGTGTACAAATGAAAATGTATTATCTCTATCTATGTCATGAAAGAATGGAATATTGTCACGTGTGTAAGTATCATAGCTTTTATTTAGAATGTTCAATTGAAAAATAGAATAGGGTTCTTCGTTTTGCTTTCAAAGCCCAATGCCAATAACTTTTCTTTGCCGAGAAACAGGAAACCAGAGGCACGCATTGAACAAGTTTTTGGAACAAACTATATATATATATATATATATATATATATATATATACGTACTTTTTGGAACGAGTTTAGTGAAAGTTACTTTGTTCTCAATTTCTTGCATCAAACAGCACCACAGTCCAAATGTTGAAGCATAATAATAATTTAAGGCCATTTGTGCAAGTGGGCATGTGTCTGCATCTTTGTGTATTTAAATAATTCGACATTAGCATCAATCTACTTAATTAATGTGTTTGATTACATCGTAGTCTTCAATTAAAAAGATATCAGGTGGGTGGTGTTCCCACTGGAGAAGTTTTTGTTGTGACCGTCACACTGGCATGTGGTGTAATTAATTCACTCATATTATAATACATGTAATATATAGGAAAAAAGGTCAGAGAAAACCCTAAGAAAAAAAGTCTTAGCCACCGCCCCTTTGGGGATTGGCGGCCTCCTTCCCTACCTCCTCCCCTCTCCTTTCATCCCTTCTTTTTTCCTTCCCTTCCTTTTCCCTCAAGATTGTTAGTTTATTTTGTGACGTGTAAGCAGTTGCCGTGAAAGAATGTCATCGTCATGATATAGTCACCATATTTTGGCCAACGTACACAAGGAGTTGGCTCCCTCGACATAATTTGGAGCTCTAAAGAGGGGAAGATGTTTGGTTGTGTTGGGTTCAGGGTTAACTAACCGGCATGACGCTATGATTTTCTTCAGGTTGCTCGGAAGATGTGGAGCAGTGGTCTTGTTTCGTAGTTTTGTTTTAGACTAATAATTTTCAGAAACTCTTTAAGAGTTTGTTGTGATTTGTTTTTCTATTTAGAATTTTTATTTCTTTTTAGTTTTTGGCTTTCGATACGGATTTGTTGTGCCGTTGCGTGGCGGATTTGAATTGTAGGTCTTAGTACATGTACTTCTGGTTGTTGGATCAAGGATTCAGTCATTGTTTAGGTTGTGCGTGATTCTCTCTCCAAATAAATTCAGCTTATTGTTGTGTTTGGTTACTGGAGAAGATTTACCCATATTCGGCACATACTTGCTTTGTACTTTTGTTTATTCATCAATAATATACTATCGCTTATTTTAAAAAATAAAAATAAATAAATAACATGTGTATTAATGTATTAATGCTATTCCATAACTCTTTGAAACTATGCCATTTTCACCTATATTAATAACATCATATTGGAAGGTGGTCGTAAAATGTGACAAGCAAAAAGAAAAAACTTTTCTGAGAAAACCCTAAGAAAAGAAACCCTATTCTTTCTCTCCTTCCCCCTCCTCTCTCATCTCCTCCTATCCTCTCTCTTTTCCTCCTCTCTCCTCCCCTCCTTTTCCCCTTTTATTTTGAATTGTTATTTAGTTTTATGGTGTGGAAGCAGTCCATGTGAAACGTTGTTGTGGTCATGACAGTTGTCTTCTTTTGGCCCATGTACATAAGGATTTGGCTCCAGTTGTTAGCCTTCAACATGACTTTGTAGTGTGATGATGTTAACAAATGTCTCACAGTTAAGGGACCTAAAAATAGACTTATAAGGAGTTGTTACCAATTGACTTTGTTGTAGAACTTCAACTTCATTCATGATATCTGAGTCATCCGCCCCTTTTTGGCTAGGCGGTTGCCTGCTCGAAAATGTTCAAAAACAGAAAAAGGTACATATGTTAGGCCCCCCCCCCTCTCCCAAAAAAAAAAAGAGAGGGTAAACTACAGTAAATCCCTCAACCTATAGGGTCATTTACAAGTCCATACCTGATTTTTGGGACATTTATGGGTACATACTCAACGTCACGGAAAACCTACAGATTGCCCCCTCCATTAAGGGGTCCGTCAGGAAATCCGTTATCTGCCTACGTGGCAAATGTGGGTTCCATTTTTTAATGAGGTGGACTTACAGGTGGACAAATAAATAATAAAAAAATTATATATTTTTCAAAACTAATTTTAAATCATTAAAATTATTTTAAAATTGATTATTTTTATTTTTATTTTTTTTTAAAGAAACCCTACACATATTCTCTTTCTCTTTCTCTCTCTCTCTCTCGATCTCCTCTCCTCCTAGCCCATAGCCACCTAAACCACCACTCAAGCTTACTCAGGCCACCCATCCCAGCCTTAACACCTCCCTCATGCCACAGATCTGATCGTTTTTTTCCCAAACCACAAACCCCAAAACGAAGTCGTGGTCGTCGCCGTCCCCAAACCATAGCTAAGTTCAACTTCAAATTTCACATCCCAAATTTCGATCAGCCTCACGGCATCGAGGCCGGTCAAATTTCACATCCTAAACGTCAGTGCCTATGAAATAGAAAATGCTTGGCTAAGAAAAATATCAGAATCCGAATTCGTTCAGTATAATTCAAGGAATGGACTTCCCTCCCCAGCAACCTAGATTGGTTGCAGAAAACGGCCTGTCGTTTAGGATTACCGATGTTCAGTCAATTAACTGGGCAAGCGACGAGGACGAAGAAGCGGCAGAGGAAGGAGGAGGGCATCGTCTTCTCCTTCTCCACTTCTCCATCGTCTCCTCCAACACGAAACGCTCGTTGTCCTTCGCCGAGCCGTACGAATGGTCTTTGAACAGCTTGGACAGGTCCAGTTCGGCCGAGAACGATTTCAAATCGAAATTTTTTTACTTTTTTTTTATTTTTTTATTTTTATGGTAGATCGAAGCTTGAGGCTAAAGGGGTTTCAGAGAAGCTCTTCTTCATAAAGAAGGTCATCTTGGGATAGGTATAATTCCTGAGAGATCGACATGGCCGAAGTTGCAGACATAAGAGTTGCTAATCCCTGGGAAAAGTTTGGGTATACAATAATCGGGAATTTTGGGTTTGAAAAAACCCTAAATATGAGGGAGGATAGGAGGGAACACAAGCTTCGATCTACCGTTAACCGGAATTGGAAGGGAGGGGATGGAATGAGGCTGTTTGCGTCTTTTTACCTTTTTTTATATATTTTTTTTATAATGATTTTAATATTATTTAAAATTTATTTTTAACATGTATATAATTTTTTAATTTTTTTTATTTTTCCACCTGTAAGTCTACGTCAATTAAAAAGTGAAACCCACATTTGCCACATAGGCAAATAACAGATTTCCTGACGGACTCGCTAACAGAGGGGGCAATCTGTAGGTTTTCCGCGACGTTGAGTATGTACCCATAAATGTCCCCAAAATCGGGTATGGACTCGTAAATGACCCTATAGGTTGGGGAGTTTACTGTAGTTTACCCTAAAAATAATTTCCTTAGCTGCCCAGCCAGCCAACAACATATTCTCTTCTCATTGTTACTCTTTTGTCTCTCATTTTCTCTTTATCATTTAGTTTGATACCTATTAATGGGTTGAGTTATGAGTTTGTTGTGTTAATGGGTTGGGTTATTTAGTTCTTGTGTCAAAGGGTTTGGTTGTCAATGTGTTATTTATCAAGTTTTTTTATAGGTTTGTTTTGTTTTGTTAATGGGTTAGGTTGTCAATGATTTTATTTATCAAGTTGTTAGTAGGTGTGTTAAAGAGTTATATATATATATATATATATATATATATTTTTTTTAGAGAGTTAATGGGTTGTACTTAACATGTGTGAAAGTTTTACTTCAAAATTCTTTGTTTTAAAGTCAATATCTTCTTCTTTTTTTGTCGATTTTCCTAGATACTTAAAATATGTATGAAAGAGAGTTTGCTAATATGTACTTAACAAGTATGTATGGAAGAGAATTTGCTAATAATGTCAATAATATAACGATAATTGAAAATTTTAAGACTTCTAAGCTTCTCGTATAATAACATTTTAGATTTAAATAGTGTTGTTTTGTATTGCATTACATTTACTTGTGGTTATTGTTAAGTTTTTATTTACGTATAGAGATGCATTTGAGGGTAACAGTCATTATGTTCTCTTTTTATGTTTATTAATGAAATTAACTTATATCGTCAAATTTAATATGTAAGTTTCACAACCGGTTTTCAAATCTTGGATCCACCACTGTTTATCTTCCATAGTAGTGTACCCTCCTTGTGCTCCTTTATTTTGCATTACTGTATAATTCAAAATCAGGAAATTAATGTTTTACTACAGAAAAATTTGGTAAAAACAGCAAATTGCTGATTGTTGGAATAATGAAGATCAATGTAAAATTTTCCACCAAATGATTTGTCATTATTGCTCTAAGAATGGGCGTGAAAAGGACATGTTATGGCAGAGGACCCCATGGGCCATGGGGCCTGAAGAGTCGCAAGCAACCATTAATGGCCTTACACGTAAGCACCCCAGTTGCAAGAGTTGGTCGATGGTCAACGTCAACCACGGTTTTCTATTAAAACTTTTGGATTCAGGGCTTCCTACAATTTGTTTGGGTGCGGCTCACTTTGTGGACAGCAACTTCTCATGGGGCATGGACTGTCTGAAATTTGAAGAGTTCTTCTCTCCATTTTCCACTTCTCATTTTGATTCAAAGTTTCTTGGGATGAATCAATTTTCTCTCTTCATAATTATCAGCTTTTATTAGTTGAAAAATCGGGATGAACCCACGAAACCGTAGATGTAACATAGCTTTTTAATCATATTCCAAATGTTTTCTTACAAATCCGCACGGATTTACCTGCTATGCACAGTGCAAGTGATTTTATGTCCGACAGTTTACCTTCAATATTCGTATCAAATCGGTGAAGCAATAGGTAATATCCTGTAAACAACTGTTTTGGTGCATCAAATTTGGTAAAAGGTGAGAAGCCATTAGGGAATGTTGGGTCTCTATCAGTAGGAGGATGGCACCTTTGCACTGAGACCATCTATTTCTGGGCTGGCAATGAACAATGCATTGAGGCCAAGACAGTGACAAGTCTTGGAAGTAGGGTTGGAAACAAGGGGTGGGTGGTTGGAGAATTATTGGCGTGGTGTGATTGGTACAAACAATAATTTGGGGTCCTAACCACGCAAGTTTATGAAATTGATGTTAAGGCCCATGCTTCATTGAGCAAACCCAGACACAAGGTGTACAGATGAGCAACAAAAAATTGGTTGGTCCTCTATGATCAGCATTGAACAAACAAAAGCCTTGTCCACAATCCAAAAAAAAAAAAGATAAAAAAAAGTGGGGTTTTCATGATTGTATGGTTCATACAGACTAGAAAGACATCTATCACTCCATTACAAGACTAGAGTTTTTTTTATTTTATTTTATAAATTATTTTTATACAAGCGATATTGGGAAGGGGGGAATCGAATCTGACTAGAACCTTAGATGTTGGGATAAATACTTTTAACCACTTGAACTACAAACCCCTTATCATTATTACAATATAGTAGATGTTGAAAGTGAAAAGAACATTGTTTGACAAAACCTACCAATTACTATGCTGGGATTAAATTTCAATTTTCCATTTGTACATCACCAATGTTTATTATTTCTTTCTTTCTTTCTTTGATACACACCAATATTGATATTTGAGGCCAACCTCGAATTTAGGCAATTCAAAAAACATCAAAGGTTACGTGGACAACATCACAGCCCAAACCCTAAAAACTCGTCTCTTGTATGGTACATACCATTCAAAGGAGATGGGAGAAATTGATGCTACAGCCCAAATAAAACAGGCCATTGAGCTTACATCTCCATTTCATGCGGGTTTGGGCATCTGGGCTGCTCTTTTCTTCTTTTTCTTCGTTTTTGTTTTTTCAGAAGAGTTTCACCTTGAGAAGAACTAGCTATAAACAATATAAGATAGTTAGGATGGTTCAAACTGATCTCCCATTTTGAGTGCAATTCAAACACTGCCCGAGTGATTTTAGGGAATTTAAACTTCAAAACAACTTTTATCACCATAACTTATTCAAAACCGAAAAACAAAATATAAAAAAAGACAGAAATGGAATGCTAGACTCTCAGCATTTGTTGTAGCTATAGACTCTCTCTCTCCCTTCTTCTCTCGAGAAAAAGAATGGAGAGGCTCCTCTTTGTTTCATGCATTCTAACCACATGTCTTGCGTTGGCAAGCTGTGCACGAGTCGTAGATCCAGCTGCCCATGCACCAGCAATGTCCATGGCAATGTCACCAAGAACATCCTCTTCTTCATCATCAGGCACGCCTCCACGCACGGATGAGTGCTCGGACATCATATTCGGCATGGCGGATTGCGTGCCGTTTATGACCGACGGGTCGAAAGACACGAGGCCAGACGGCTCGTGCTGCCCCGGGTTGGAGATGGTGCTGAAAGCTAGCGATGACTGCATATGTGAAGCCATAGAGAGCTGCACTGATTTAGGCATCCCTTTGAATATGACTAAGGCTATGACTTTGCCTGCTGCTTGTGGCATCTCTGCTCCTAATTCTTTTAGTCAATGTGGCAGTGAGTTTTTGATCTCTCTCACTACATAGTTTTGCACATGTTATTGATTTTTTTTATTTTTTATGATATATATAACATGTTTGAATGTTTTCCCTCTTATTTGTTTTGCAGTTCCCTTGACTCCTGGTGTTTCTGGTACGTTTTAATTGTTTTGTGTATTTTTCTTTTTCTCTTAAGTTTAGCATGTGTTTTCATTTTCCCCCCCACGTTTCTCTCTTATACTTGATTGAAGAAATTGTTGAGAAATTAGAAATGATAGACGTGAACAAGAAAACAGAATGACTATTAAATAATTTTGTTTTGATTTTATGTATTCTCATTATCTTCTCTCTTTTTTTTGGGTTTGTTAAGAAAATATAATGCTCTTCCCTTTCAGGTAAAACAAAAAACAAAAGATCGAACTATTTTCATCCGGACAAGTGAAAAAACAAAACAACAATGATCATCTCACTACTAGTTCATTGATACTTCTCTTTTCAATATCCTATAATATTTCTTTTTCAAAAATAAAAAATAACGAATGCTGTGTTACTTTCTTTTAAAAGTTGCAATTGTATTTTTAAAGAACTACGATGATATCTTTTCTTTTATTGAACCATTGAACAGCATAATCTGTACAAAAATCTAACATGACCATTCCTCCAAATGTTTGTAAAATCTCGAATCACAATTTGTTTATTTGTTTGTTTGTTTGTTTTTTTTTAAAATTGCAGTGAAACCAACTCCAAAATCATCACCAAAGAGTCCATCTCCAAAGAGGGCACCGGCAAGTTCCGACGATGTAGTTCCAGCATCCTCCTCCTCCGTTGTCACAGCTCCAGCTCGGTCTCCGAACTCCGGAACTTATTCTACATCTGCCTCACTTGTGCTTATTCTTAGCATGCTTTATGCTTCATTCTACTGTGTTTCATTTTAGGCAGAAGGTTGTTCATAGTTGTTTCTTTTTGTTTCTATCCTCATGGCTACTAATCTTTTCTCCTTTTTTTGGGTCAAACATGGCTACTAATTGTAGTATGATTGTATTTAGCTGGACTAGATAATGCTTAGTTTAACTTGGGTTAAGTAGGTTTTGAGTTCTAATAATTTCGTTTTTTCTTTTTGCATGGATGAGTTGGCCTCCATATCAGAATTGTTGTATGTAGCAACAATGATCACAACAGAGGAAGTAAGGAATTGGATCAATCCCATTCCTAATAAGTAAACATCCCACTTAATTACAAATTATCCTAAACTTTTTTATGATTTCTCTATATAGCCGTTTGCTGACTCATTAGAAAACTAACCATTATTTTAAAAACCTAAGATTAAACCATGAAATTCCACTACAATTGACATTCATTCACACAACAAGGCCATTTGATGATCAAAATCGAAGAAAGGCTAGTCTTGTTTGTTGGTAATGTCAAAGTAAGGTGCTGAGATTTTTATTTTATTTTGGTTACAAACGTGCAATGAGGAACTTTTTCATGGTTCGGGACTCTCCCCTAACAAAAAGAGCAATATCGCAAAGGAAAATACTTTCATTCTCACCATGTAAGTAGGAGCTCTTACATTTATGCCAATAGCAATGTGATATTTGTGCAAAAGTTTTTCTTTTGTGTTTTTGATGAATTATTTTTGCATATATATCAAAATATGATTAGCATGAATGAGAAGTATCTTCTTACATGAAAATAGACAAGCAGTATCCTATAAAAAATAGTTATTTACATGTTGAAAAACAAAACGCGTTTGACCAAAAGGTTGACCCACACAAAATAAATATAAAAGACCAAAAAACAATTAACGCCTCAAAACTTAAAGCTCTATCTTCCAACCCCCAACTCCCAAGCCCACAATATGTGTGAGACCATCGATCACTTGTTTTTAAGATAAAATCATCAAACATGTAGTCTTGCAAATAAAATTTGAGAGATTCAAGTGACACATAATAAAAATACATAAAAATAATAGAGTCAACTTTTGATCAAATAATAACAACCGATAAATTAATCAAATTTCATATCAATCAACTATTCACAATCGATCGAGTAAAATGACCAATCACTTTTAGACAGATTAAAGTTATTAATAGGAGTGACTGGAAGTTGGGACCCCAAGTTCTGAAAAATAAAAAATAAACCAACTGTGCTTGAAAGAGAGAGGATATGATATAAGTTAAGCCCCAGTTCCACTGAAATATCATGGACTTAAAGGGAGAGGCGGCTGCGTCCTTTAATTCTCTAACCAAAAAGAATAAAGAAATTAAGCAAAGAACATCTTGAGTAGGTATGGAGTTAGGTTGAAGCGTGGGTAAGTAGGGTTTGACCCGGAAGCATATTTAGCTAAAATTTGAGGCTTCACAAGTTAAGTATGAGAAAATGATCAAAGCTAATTGAGATATACTTTGGTACACGGTTCTTCAAACCCTTGCAACACGTGGTCGTTCACTAACCAAAACAATTGTCGTTCACAGTTTTATATATATATATATATATATATATATATATATATATATATATGGCCTTAAATTCAGTTTGTACAAATTTATATATGTTGGGTTTTTATACATGTTAAGTCCGGGAAAGATAATTGTCACTTGAAAACCCACAAGCCTATTGTATTGTAGTTCTATATCCACATCATCATGAAATAGATCCAAAGGGCATAAGATTTGGGTTTTGAATTTGAGTTGGGGAGAAAAAAAGGGCATTACACACAGACTTTGATTAGGCAGCAAACTCCAAACACATGCATGTTTGCCGAGAAATAGGATATCATATAAAAATCACATTATTTTGAATATTTGTGCAATAGAAAAAGTATAGAAAATTGTTTTCTGTAACCGTAACTTCACGTGGCATGACCCTGAACGGAGATTAATCCTACATTTCTGATGTGGGGACACCTCGTGGTATTTACCAAAAAATACATCACGTGACATGTTTATAATATGTTATTATTTTATCTATATAATAACACATATACGATTATTAAAAACTTGAAGCTTTGCAGCCTAATATTGAAAAAAAGATACTTTTCCTAACTAATTATAGTTCAAAAGAAGAAAAAATTATAACAAAATGTGGGTGTGCACACTTAGTGAACCAATTGATCAAATCAAAATTAATTGTAACTGACTTAATTCTGAATCATTCATCAATCAACTTTCTTTGCCCTAGTTCAAAAGACCCCCAAATTCCTTTTCATCATCCAATCTAAGCCATGATTATTCAATACCTAAGGTAGTTGAATTATGAAATGATGTGAAAGAATTACTCTTCCATGACTTTTATATTTTTCCAATTTTATTAAATTAGGGAAAGAAAGATAGATAGGGAGGTAAGTATAGCATGGATAGACCTAACCTCCAACCATAACCCAAACATCACCATCCAAAATTAATATCAATCTTTTACTAACAGAAGTTCACCTACATATAAGTATCCTTTCTTTGGTCGTAAATCTATGCTTATGTACATTTCTTTTGGAAAATATATTCTTGATTTTCGTGTACTCTTAGAACTGCATGAGAAAGCATATTATATATAAATTTATATTGAGAACAGATTATGATAAAAACTTGGAGTTTTGGCATTTATATCGGACAGACTGATTCATCGAAAAAAAAGGAAGGGTGAAGGGTTGGTAGACCGTACCACCCAACTCAACTCACAGTCAAGACGTGCCAACTCCAAAAATTAATTCCTTCATTCATGAACCGTCATGTAATGTCTGGTTCGTATTTAGTGGCCTAAACCCATAAAAAAGAATCGAAATTTGGTTGAACCCAAAATCCAAATGGGGATTTAAAGAAAAAAACAATTCACACACAAGAAGAAAGAGAGGGGGGGAAAAATCATTTGACTGCTTTGAGAATGGAAACGAGACCCACCTTGAGGCCTTGATCATAAATTAGTTTAAGAGAGGAGAGAGAGAGAGGGAGAGAGGAGAGAGATGAAAAACAAAGGGGGTAGCTGGGAGTTGCTGCTAACAAAGGAAGAGGGTGTGGAATTGGCAGGTACCACGTGCAGCTCTTATTAAAGCCGTTAAGAATGCAAATAGATACATACAGCAACAGCTCACAAAACCCAAACCCACACACCTACCTCTCTGCAATTCCTTCACACACTTAAATAGGTTCCCAAGGTTGGTTTTGTGTAGCACTTTGTGTATGTGTCTCTGTGCCAATGATCACATTCACATACAAACACAACACACTGAATTGAATTCAACCACATAACGCATTTCTGGGTTTCTGTTTTCTCACACAACTCTGCCTCTTGATTCATAATGTTTTGTACCCAGATAGCAATTTGAGCAGTTCGATCAAGATTTCAGCTCCTCTTTTTCTTCCTCATTAAGGTATGTGAATCATTTACTTTAAACCCTTTAAAGTAATTGTCTTGTGGGCACTTCCGTTTGAATAACGTTTTGGTGGCTCGGATATTGCTTGTTTTGGACATTTGTTGATGGGAAGTAGTTTGATTATAGTTGGAATTGGTTTTGAAACTTTCAAAGATTGTATTTTTGTGGGTTGGTTGCACTTTTATCAGTAAGGCTGTGTTTGCTGTGGATTTGGGAATCTACTCTGCAGTTTTCTGGAGTCTATGGTTTAACAAAGGTTCTTTTTTCTTTTTTCCCCTTCTCTGTAACCTGACAACTATATCCTTAGGCTGTGTCTAGTTGCCTAGAACTGGAATTCAAAGCTTCAATTAGTGTAACATTGATTCAGTGTTGAGATTTTGTTACATTTGAAACAAGATTACAGAGAAAATGAGAGTTCATGAATCATGATGGCATGAATTAGATATAAGCATCAACTTCACTTCCATGTAACCAAAAGCAGCCGTAGTATAACCAGGTAGATGTTCATATTTGCTATTAACTTGCGCTTAGGATCATGCATTTGGTGTAAGACTAATGTGATAACTGCTACACCAAAGCAACCCGTTGATGACATTGTATGAAATAAAAGGATCATGCATTTGGTTTAACTTGTATGAAATGAAAGAGCCAATGAAGAAAGGGCCAATTCAGAATTACAAGCTTTATTGAATTAGTTCCAGTACATTTGTTCCCTAAAATTTCATTTACCTTGTTGATGACGTTGTTTCTTGCTCTGCAGCATGTCAGAAGCTCAAAGGAGATTGGTGACAACACCTAGTTTTCCTCGTGGAAATGGGTATGTAAATGGGGTAGTACCACTCAGGCACCCTGCTATAGCATCTGAAGTTGATGAGTTCTGCTATGCCCTTGGTGGGAAGAAGCCAATCCATAGCATTTTAATTGCAAACAATGGAATGGCAGCTGTGAAGTTCATACGTAGTGTGAGGACATGGGCCTATGAAACATTTGGCACAGAGAAGGCTGTTTTATTGGTAGCCATGGCCACACCGGAGGACATGAGAATCAATGCAGAACACATTAGAATTGCTGACAGTTTTTGGAAGTTCCTGGTGGAACTAACAATAATAACTATGCAAATGTGCAGCTCATTGTAGAGGTGTGTATGCTAAGCTCTTCCCTCATATACTTTCATGTTTTCCAGTTTTTTTTATTATTTATTTTATCAAAGTGTTTGCAAACAAGCAGATATTCAACTAAAATCACGAGGAACCTTCTGAGTGAAAGAACTTTGAGTGTCATTTTGCCACCATTTCTTTGACTGCAAGAATTGAATTTAATATAAATAAGAAGAAAGTATAAGAACTAGATTTACTTATAAATAAAAAAAAAAAAAAAAAAAAAAAAAAAAAAAAAAGAATTCTCTAATTCTCTAAAAGCAAATCAAATGAATGAATAAAGTTACTTTGTTACTTTCTCAGACTCATAGAAATTTATTAGTAATTATGGAAGGTGTGTTTTTAATACTTTGAGCTGTATTTCTTGTTGTTACATTTCAACACCAAAAACCTGGTTTTCTCCATTTGAGCAAAGTTTTTGCTATATTGTTACTTTTCTCAGAATTCATAGAAGATTTATTGGTAATTATGGAAGGTGTGTTTATATACTTTGAGCTGTATTTCTTGTTGTACCTTTCAACACCAAAACCTGGTTTTCTCCATTTGAGCAAAGTTTTTGACGTCTAAAGTGGTAGTTGTTCGCAAATAGATGATCGCAATCCCCCATACAAACCTTCTGGCTCTCTTTGTTTCATTAGCTACCAAATCTGGAGCAAATTGAGCTAATTCAGGGAACTTTAATTCAATTATGCCATAGTCATGTCATCCAGTCAGTAAACTTTACTGAATTAGCTACCGAAAATGTCACTCACATCTGAGGCGATAAATATGTTTAAGTCTCAAGGGATGGAAGTTTTCTTACTTTATGGATCATGTAAATTGAAAATTGGGTCCTTAGATAGCTCAATCCATAAAATGAATACACACACAAACACAACCCGCTCTCCATTTAGAGTATTTCTACATATTCATAGAAAAACAAAATAAAGAGCACATGGCACAACCTGGGGTATTACTTTACCTGTAGTTCTGAAACATTTCAGAAATTTCTGTAGATCTTGTTAGTATTTCACCTGAATTTGTTGTTCTGTACTACCCAGATGGCAGAGATAACACGTGTTGATGCAGTTTGGCCTGGTTGGGGACATGCCTCTGAGAACCCTGAGCTTCCAGATGCGTTGATTGCAAAGGGAATTGTATTTCTTGGGCCGCCAGCTGTATCTATGGCAGCATTAGGAGATAAAATTGGTTCATCATTAATTGCTCAAGCTGCAAATGTACCCACCCTTCCATGGAGTGGATCACATGTATGAATCCTGAAAATTGTGTCCTATTTTTCTTTTTGTTTCTTTTGCCGGGTAATGCAATCTGATTCTGTTAATGTCTGTTTTCCAGGTAAAAATTTCTTCAGAGAGCTGCTTGGTTACAATCCCAGATGAAATATATAGGGAAGCATGTGTTTATACGACAGAGGAAGCGGTTGCGAGTTGTCAGATTGTTGGTTACCCAGCAATGATTAAGGCATCATGGGGTGGTGGTGGTAAAGGCATAAGAAAGGTTTGTGTCATGACTCATGCATGACAAAATATATATAGGCGATTTGCGTCTGAATTGTTAGCTGAGCCTGAAACAAGATTCATTCACTTATCCAACATGTTAAGGAATTTGGTTGGACCCTTTTCATGCCTTATTCAAGAGCTTAGCTAAGTTGAATTTCTTAATTTTCTAGGTCCATAATGATGATGAAGTTAGGGCATTGTTCAAGCAAGTTCAGGGTGAAGTGCCCGGATCTCCAATATTTATAATGAAAGTTGCATCCCAGGTCAGATAATCCATTGCCTTTTGATTTAGATGAGCATCATTGCCGAACTCCAGACCAGATATTGCCCATTTTTACAATTTAATTTATTTTCTTTTCTCTCATCAGAGCCGACATTTAGAGGTCCAGTTACTATGTGATCAGCATGGAAATGTTGCAGCTTTGCACAGCCGTGATTGCAGTGTTCAAAGGCGGCACCAGAAGGTAATATTTCTGACATGGTAAACTTAATATTATGTGTTTCCACATTTAGCTTGGTCTTCTAGGGAACTTTTCTTTAGCCTTCTAAGATTTTCTTTCTCCAGTACTTAGTAGCGTGTAGTCTCATCTACTGGAGATGTTTCCCCTTGAAAACCTAATTTTCTTGTTTTATGTTCTATAGATTATTGAGGAGGGTCCAATAACTGTAGCTCCTCACGAGACAGTAAAAAAGTTGGAGCAGGCGGCTCGAAGGTTGGCTAAATCTGTTAATTATGTCGGAGCAGCCACAGTTGAGTATCTATACAGTATGGACACTGGCGAGTACTATTTCTTAGAGCTGAACCCTCGGTTACAGGTATGTTATTTCGGTTCTCGTAATTTTTTTTTCAGCTTATGATCTTATGAACTCATTGTGTGTTCATTTTGAGTTTGTTTTGTTGGCGGCACTGAATAATGCAGTGACGAATGAAATGCGTATGCCTGAAGTGAATATAGAAACAAAAATATGCTTGTTATGTGCTAACCAAGCCATTCAGTCTTCATGCAACCTCTTACAAAAGGGTTGAACATCATATGATCATATGATCATGTTATCATTATAATGATTAGAATTTTTATAGCTGTTTTACTAATGCCTATAGGCATCGATCAGCTGTGTTAGCTTCTGTTCTTGCATCTGCTTTTCGAGAAAAATAATTTTGTGCGTGAAACTAAATGTCTAAGATTTAATTCAATGTAGGTGGAGCACCCAGTCACTGAGTGGATAGCTGAAATAAATCTTCCAGCAGCCCAAGTTGCAGTTGGAATGGGCATCCCTCTCTGGCAAATTGCTGGTATCATCTTAGTTTCTGGATTTCTTTAAATATGTTTTGATTTACTTATCATATTTCTTAATTTGTTCACATTCTCTGTCTATATGATTCATTTGATTAGAAATAAGGCGATTTTATGGAATGGAACATGGTGGTGGATATGATGCATGGAGAAAGACCTCAGCTGTTGCTACCCCCATTTGATTTTGACAAGGCAGAATCTACAAGGCCAAAGGGTCATTGTGTTGCTGTGCGTGTAACAAGTGAGGATCCAGATGATGGCTTTAAGCCTACTAGTGGGAAAGTACAGGTTAGTTTTGATGGTTCCTCAGGCTTACTCTTACTTTATTTGTCCTAATGCAATACATGACTCTATATTGAGTATGTCTTACTATATGCAGGAGTTGAGTTTTAAAAGCAAGCCAAATGTTTGGGCATACTTTTCTGTTAAGGTAAATATCTTGTAAGTGGATAACGACAACTTCCTCCAGAAAAGAAAAAGAAAGAAAGAAAATATAGTTCTCAGATAAATTCTGATTGATGTTTTGACATGCAGTCTGGAGGAGGCATTCATGAATTCTCAGACTCTCAGTTTGGTAAGTATTAACCTACTGCAACTTCATTTTATTTCTTTTTCTGTCTAAATAGCCATAATATAATGTGAATAAAATAGGTCCATACGGTCGAAGAAGCTGAGTGACCGTCAATTATACTTGGGCAATGGCCATTCGGTCGGTGGGTTCATATATAGATATTATGCATAACTGGTTTGAGAACTGTTGTTTGTTAACTCAGTCATCCATCTTTGCTACCAACATATTTAAAAATTCTCTCTTTTTTTGCAGGACATGTTTTTGCATTTGGAGAGTCCCGAGCTCTAGCTATTGCAAACATGGTTCTTGGGCTGAAGGAAATTCAAATTCGAGGAGAAATTCGTACAAATGTTGATTATTCAATAGATCTTTTACATGTAAACTTCACAACAAGACCTATGATACAATTCTATACCATCGTTTTAAAAGATATTATAAAGAACATAGAATTTTGATGAAACATGAAGTAATGCTATGAAACATGTTCTGCAGGCTTCAGACTACAGAGAGAATAAAATCCACACAGGTTGGTTGGATAGTAGAATTGCCATGCGAGTTAGAGCGGAGAGGCCTCCTTGGTATCTCTCTGTAGTTGGAGGGACTCTGTTTGTAAGTTCAACTATCTTATTAACCGTTGAATTTTGAATATTTTACTTGCAAAATGCATCACTTATTATTCCTATTATGCCCTATTCAGAAAGCATCTGCCAGCAGTGCAGCAATGGTTTCAGATTACGTCGGTTATCTTGAGAAGGGGCAAATTCCACCCAAGGTATGGTAGTAAAAAAACACCCTTCTAGGTACATGTTATAGGTGTCAACAATTAATATTTGTCTATCCTGGTTGCAGCATATATCACTTGTCCATGCTCAAGTATCCTTGAACATCGAAGGGAGCAAATACACAGTATGTTTTCCAACGATGTCGTTTCATTCCAAAGGATTTTTCTTTTTTGTCTTGGACACATTTGGACATTTATGGTTGGTAGAATCTGTAGTTATATATAATCAATGCCATGGAAAACTATTTCTAGATTGACATGGTGAGGGGGGGTCCCGGAAGCTACAGATTGAGGATGAATGAGTCAGAGATCGAAGCAGAGATACATACTTTACGTGATGGGGGTTTGTTGATGCAGGCATGTACAAATTTTCTCTTTATTGTTTTTATGATTCTAACATCACAGATGATTTTACTCTTGCTCATTATTTATTACTTGTTTGTTCTTGGATTTTTAATTAATATGAGTACTTTTCATTTGAGTAAACTCTTGCTCTTAACTCTTCTTACAGTTAGATGGAAACAGTCACATTATATACGCAGAGGAAGAAGCAGCTGGAACTCGCCTTCTTATTGATGGAAGGACTTGCTTGCTTCAGGTGCGCCCATTTCCCTTCTTTTATCTTCCCCCACATTCCCTTCTGCAAGCTGAGTTGTTGACCTTTGTTGAATCTAGAACGACCACGATCCATCGAAGTTAATAGCAGAGACACCATGCAAGCTGCTGAGGTACTTGGTTGCTGATGGTAGTCATGTCGATGCTGACACACCATATGCTGAGGTTGAGGTTATGAAGATGTGCATGCCTCTTCTTTCACCTGCTTCCGGAGTTATCCACTTTAAAATGTCTGAAGGCCAAGCAATGCAGGTAAGTCATGTTCCAAGTAGGAAGTAAATACATTCTTCTCTTGATAGAAGTTAAAAAATAAAATTGGTTTTGTGTAGGCTGGTCAACTTATTGCAAGGCTTGATTTAGATGATCCTTCAGCTGTAAGAAAGACGGAACCCTTCCATGGGAGCTTCCCAGTCCTGGGGCCTCCAACTGCAATTTCTGGTAAAGTTCATCAGAGATGTGCTGCAAGCTTAAACGCAGCCCGAATGATTCTTGCTGGTTATGAGCATAACATTGATGAAGTGAGTTCTCTTTCAACATAAACATAATATTTTGAACACCTTGTAATCTGTGATTTCTTGCCATTTTCTTGGGCCTTGTAAATGTGGGAATACATTGTCTGGTATCATTTGGTAGATTGTGTTATTCTTAAACTTGTCTTATTGAATAGTTCTCATCTATCTCAGGTAGTGCAAAACTTGCTCAATTGCCTAGATAGCCCTGAACTCCCTTTCCTTCAATGGCAAGAATGCTTTGCAGTTCTGGCAACCCGCCTACCCAAAGATCTTAAAAATGAAGTAAGCAAAAATGGGGTGGTTTTCCCTCTGATTTATGCTCAAAATGAGTCTTTACCCTCATGTGATTTTCTCATATAATTTTACAGTTGGAATCAAAATTTAAGGAGTTTGAGTTGATTTCTAGCTCTCAGAATGTTGACTTCCCTGCCAAATTGTTGCGTGGTATTCTTGAGGTGAGTTCTATATTTCAAATTCCATATTTTGATTACTATTTTCTCTTAGGATGATCAAATATTTCGAGCCGGCATCCATGGAAAATTCAGACTTATGTTTGTGCATTTTTCTGCAGGCCCATCTATTCTCCTCTCCCGATAAAGAGAAAGGAGCCCAAGAAAGGCTTGTTGAGCCTTTGCTGAGCGTTGTGAAGTCTTATGAGGGTGGAAGAGAAAGTCATGCCCGAGTTATTGTTCAATCCCTTTTTGAAGAGTATTTGTCAGTTGAAGAATTATTCAGTGACAACATTCAGGTTAGTCTATCATTATGGAAGCCAACTTTTTATGCAACTTAGGCTAAATATTTGAGACTGCGGGTACTGTTTTATTTGTATCATGGGACATTCATGGCTTTAGTTGAAACATAAGAATGGAACGTGGCTGCTCATTACAGTTCATTGATGTAGCTCTCTTCGGTTCATAAAGGGCATTTGTTCTTATAAGTTTTATCCTGACTTGACTTGTCTCACTGGGTTCTGGTTATTCATCTGCATATAAAAAATTTAAAATAGAATAATGCTAATACAATCACATAAGCAAAAGGCAAACCTCTCTAGTTGCTGTCTTGTTGCACATCCTGGTGTTACCATAGCCACCTTTGTTGTTGACTGACTTTTATATATTGTTTTTCAGTTGCGCTATTTTCTTTTTCATTTTTTTTGTCTTCCTTAAATCTTTAACCTGACTAACGTTTAATTACGACATAGTAGTTAAAAATTGTCTTGAATACTGGTCATTGAACTCTAAATGTGTATTTAGCTTCACAGTTTTACAGATACCTGTACCCCGGTAATTAGGAACTTGAGGCTGCTCCAAGAGTTTGAATGTTGTAAATTTGTAATCTTTCTTTTTTCTTGTCAGAATCTTCATTCATGATAGCTAATATTTTATCTGCTTCAGGCTGATGTAATTGAACGCCTTCGACTTCAATATAAAAAAGATCTATTGAAGATCGTGGACATTGTGCTTTCTCATCAGGTATTAAAATCAAGTACATGCTCAGTTGGCTTGCCTTCCCAGGTCTCATTCAATTGTGTGTTGAAATTATTTTATACCCATATTATGTGTGTCTTGTGCTTGCAGGGTGTCAAGAATAAAAATAAGTTGATACTACGACTCATGGAACAACTGGTCTACCCCAACCCTGCTGCATATAGGGACAAACTAATTCGGTTTTCTGCACTTAACCACACAAGCTATTCTGAGGTTGGCCGTTGCACTGAGTTAATCAAATCCAGCTTGAACTAATAACTTTTTATATATGGATATTTCTTTCTCTGTTTATAAGTTTTTCAAAATCCAGACTCAGTTCTCCAGTTATCGTCACACAAGTCAGAAATCAGTGGTTATGTACGAGCCATAGAACTGAGTTATTCAAACCATGCTGAGTTATTAGTTTTTAATATGTCGATCTTCCTTCTTCTGCTTTCAAGTTTTACAAAATCCAGTCTAAATTCTCCTCACATCAACAATCAATGTTTATTTACTTTTCATTAGATTTATATTCTCATCTTCTTTTTTGTTTCCTAATATTGTCCTAATGCTGAATTAAATTTATGCAGTTGGCACTAAAGGCCAGTCAACTGATGGAGCAAACCAAGTTGAGTGAACTTCGTTCCAGCATTGCGAGAAGTCTTTCTGAGTTAGAGATGTTTACTGAGGATGGTGAAACCATGGATACCCCAAAGAGGAAAAGTGCCATAAATGAACGAATGGAGGATCTTGTGAGTGCTCCTTTGGCAGTTGAAGATGCCCTTGTAGGTCTATTTGATCATAGTGATCACACTCTTCAGAGGCGAGTTGTAGAGAGTTATGTGCGTCGGTTATACCAGGTACCATGGTTCAAACACTTTGAGTTCCTGCTTACTTAATTTTTGACAGTAATTTCCTCGCTTAACTTTGTTTTTGCCATCAGCCATATCTTGTAAAGGGGAGTGTCAGGATGCAGTGGCACCGATCTGGTCTTATGGCTTCATGGGAGTTCTTGGAAGAACATACTGAGAGAAAAAATTCCAATGAAGATCAATCATTTGATAAATCAGTTGAGAAACACAGTGAGAGAAAATGGGGAGTCATGGTTATAATAAAATCTCTTCAATTTCTGCCAGCAATTATTAGTGCTGCATTGAAAGAAATGTCTCATCAACTTCATGAATCAATTCCAAATGGATCTACTGAACCAAGTGGCTTTGGTAATATGATGCATATTGCTTTAGTTGGTATCAACAATCCGATGAGTTTACTTCAGGATAGGTATTGTACCTGCCCTTTTTATAATCATTGAAGTTTCAACTTTAAATTCAACATGTGATGAATATTTCAGGACAGGTTTGAAAAGCTAAGCTCGCGCTGTATTCTGATTAGTTTTTAATCTTACTGAGTCTTAGTTTTAATTGGATCTGTCTACACTCCAAATTTACAATGGTCCTATTTCAGATAATAAAGAGTTTTAATTATTTCTTTTTATTTGCAAAGACATGCCAAATAGAACCTACAGTTAAAAACCTTATTGACGACCATTGTTGATTCATGCATGGCAGTGGAGATGAGGATCAGGCTCAAGAAAGAATTAAGAAGTTAGCCAAAATACTTAAAGAGCAAGGAGTAGCCTCCAGTCTACACAGTGCAGGTGTCAGAGTAATTAGTTGTATCATACAAAGAGATGAAGGGCGAGCCCCTATGAGGCATTCCTTCCACTGGTCATCAGAGAAACTCTATTATGAGGAAGAACCTTTATTGCGTCATCTGGAACCTCCTCTATCCATTTACCTTGAATTGGTTAGTAATTTTTTGGTTCTAGCACCAGTGTTTTGGGTTAAGAGTGAGAAAAATTATATGCATGGACTCTTGCTATGAAGTTACTCAACTTTTGTTCTGATCCAGGACAAGCTCAAAGGCTATGAGAATATACAGTATACCCCATCTAGGGACCGTCAGTGGCACTTGTACACTGTTGTAGACAAGCCGCTACCAATCCAAAGAATGTTCCTCAGAACACTTGTAAGGCAGCCAACAACAAATGAAGGATTCACTGGATTTCAAAGGCTAGACGTGGAAGCAGCTAGTAAGCAATGGGCTTTGTCATTTACTTCAAGGAGCATTTTGAGGTCCTTATTAACAGCAATGGAAGAGTTGGAACTTAATGCGCACAATGCCAATGTCAAATCCGACTATACTCATATGTATCTTTATATCTTACGTGAGCAACAAATTGATGATCTACTGCCTTACCCCAAGTAATTATTTTCTTTTTCTTATTCAATTTCTTTGCTTCTGAGATAATATGGTGAACTTTTTAGAATCTTACATTTGAATAATTGTGCCAGGAGAGTAGATTTAGATGCTGGGCAAGAAGAAACTGCGGTGGAGGCGATTTTAGAAGAACTTGCACGTGAAATCCATGCTTCTGTTGGTGTAAGGATGCATAGGTTGGGTGTCTGTGAGTGGGAAGTGAAGCTGTGGATAGCATCCTCTGGACAGGCTTGGAGGGTTGTCGTGACAAATGTGACTGGTCATACCTGCACTATACAAGTATGTTTATATATGATGCACATTTTATTTATGTTTTCTACCACCCAGTTACCTTTTCCAGCTAAATAATTGTTGAAGTTCGGTAGTAAAGCATATGGAGTCTCCTTTAACAATTTGTATGGATCATGGGTCATGATTGCATTACTGATAAACATGATATTCAGATCTATCGGGAACTAGAGGATACCAGCAAATGTAGAGTGGTATACCATTCAGCTTCTGTTCAGGGTCCCCTGCATGGTGTACCAGTGAATGCGCACTATCAGCCTTTGGGAGCTATTGACCGTAAACGTCTGTTGGCCAGGAGAACCAGCACCACTTACTGCTATGATTTTCCACTGGTGAGATTTGTGATATGTTTGTTTGTTTTTTTTTTTTTTTTTTTTTTTTTTTTTTTTTTCAATGTTTTTTCTCCGAAGTATGGTGGAAACTAACTGGAGATAAATGGTTATTTTGTAGGCATTTCAGACGGCCTTGGAACAGTCATGGGCATTCCAATTACCAGGTGGTAAAAAACCCAAGGACAAAGTTCTTAAAGTCTCTGAGCTCAAATTTGCTGACCAAAAAGGCACCTGGGGTTCTCCACTTGTCAATGTAGAGCGTCCACCTGGGCTCAATGATGTTGGTATGGTAGCTTGGTCTATGGAGATGTCTACCCCTGAGTTCCCTTCTGGAAGGAAGATTTTGATTGTTTCAAATGATGTGACCTTTAAAGCTGGATCTTTTGGCCCAAGAGAGGACGCATTCTTCTTTGCGGTAACTGAGCTTGCTTGTGCCAAGAAACTGCCTTTGATATACTTGGCAGCAAACTCAGGTGCCCGTATTGGGGTAGCTGAAGAAGTCAAATCCTGCTTTAAAGTTGGTTGGTCCGATGAAACAAGCCCTGAACGTGGCTTTCAGTATGTGTATTTGACCTGTGAGGATTATGCTCGGATTGGATCATCTGTGATAGCACATGAATTAAAGCTTGCAAGTGGAGAAACCAGATGGGTTATAGATACCATTGTTGGAAAGGAGGATGGCTTGGGGGTTGAGAGCTTGACAGGCAGTGGAGCAATTGCTGGTGCATATTCGAGGGCATACAAGGAAACCTTTACCTTAACATATGTGACTGGCAGAACTGTAGGGATAGGCGCTTATCTTGCTCGGCTTGGAATGCGGTGCATACAAAGGCTTGATCAGCCCATAATTTTAACTGGTTTCTCTGCATTGAACAAACTTCTTGGCCGGGAGGTGTACAGCTCTCATATGCAACTTGGAGGACCTAAAATTATGGGAACAAATGGGGTTGTCCATCTAACGGTTGCTGATGATCTTGAAGGAATATCTGCTATTTTGAAGTGGTTAAGCTATGTTCCTGCCCATGCTGGTGGCCCACTCCCCATTTCATGTCCCTTGGATCCTCCAGAAAGGCCTGTTGAGTACTACCCTGAGAATTCATGTGATCCTCGTGCTGCTATTTGTGGTACTTTAAATGGTAATGGGAACTGGATGGGTGGTATTTTTGACAAAGACAGCTTTGTTGAGACGCTAGAAGGCTGGGCAAGAACAGTTGTTACTGGAAGGGCGAAGCTTGGAGGAATCCCTGTAGGAATAGTTGCTGTTGAGACACAGACGGTGATGCAAGTTATACCTGCTGATCCAGGCCAGCTTGATTCCCATGAGAGAGTCGTTCCTCAGGCTGGGCAAGTATGGTTTCCTGATTCTGCAAGTAAGACAGCCCAAGCATTATTAGATTTCAATAGAGAAGAGCTCCCACTTTTCATTCTTGCTAACTGGAGAGGCTTTTCTGGTGGGCAGAGGGACCTTTTCGAAGGGATCCTTCAGGCTGGATCAACCATTGTGGAGAACCTTAGGACTTACAAACAGCCCATTTTTGTATTCATCCCTATGATGGGTGAGCTCCGCGGTGGAGCATGGGTGGTCGTGGATAGTCGGATAAATCCAGACCATATTGAAATGTATGCTGATCGAACTGCTAGAGGTAATGTGCTTGAGCCAGAGGGGATGATCGAGATCAAGTTCAGGGACAAGGAGCTGCTGGAGAGCATGGGTAGGCTTGATCAACAGCTGATCCAACTGAAGGCAAAACTTCAGGAGGCCAGGAGCTGTGGGGCACACGAGATGGTTGAACCCCTACAGCATCAGATAAGATCGCGTGAGAAACAGCTTTTGCCTGTCTACACTCAGATAGCTACTAGATTTGCAGAACTGCATGATACTTCTCTTCGGATGGCTGCAAAAGGGGTAATCCGAGAAGTGTTGGACTGGAATACCTCTCGATCTTTCTTCTACAAGAGATTGCGTCGGAGAATTGCTGAAGAGTCGCTCATCAAGACATTGAGAGATGCTGCTGGCGAACAGCTTTCACATAAATCTGCAATAGATTTGATCAAGAGCTGGTTTTTCAGTTCTGATATTTCAAAATCCAGAGAAGATGCATGGGTGGATGATGGCATTTTCTTTACATGGAAGGATGATCCAAAAAATTATGAGGATAAATTAAAGGAGTTGCGGGTCCAGAAGGTATTGCTTCAATTGGCAACTATTGGTGACTCGATTTCTGATTTGCAAGCCCTACCTCAAGGTCTTGCTGCCCTTCTAAGCAAGGTAAACAATCATGTTATATTCTTTTTTAAAAGCATCTTTGCATGTTATATCTTTGCCACCTGGATGTAATGATTTGAATCTAATGCAGGTCGAGCCATCAAGCAGAGTGCTGTTGATCGATGAACTCCGGAAGGTACTCGGTTAATACAAAAGTTGGTGCTTCACATCTGACGATGGTCCCACAAATTGCTTGTGTTGTATCTGCTTGAATCATAGCCATATCTTCATAAGTAGGTGCATGTTATTTATCTGCCCTTAGCATATATAAGAACACAATGACTGCTTGCCTATCAGTTGCATCAATAGATTTAGGTTGCTGATAGAAGCTTCAGTGTATAATAGAGGCAGAAGATTTGTAGGGAGCAGTCTGGCTCCCAAGTGTAAATTTTGTAAGTCATGAGTAAGATATAAGGAAATAAATAGTTAAAAAGGAAACAACCAGCATTTGCAGGCTCTGTTTCATTATTTTCCTACATGGCTGATCAATGCTTGGAAATAAAAAATTACAACATAGTTTGTAATATTCTGTAAGAACTATAGCAGATTCGTGCTCATCATCATTGTGTCATTTTATTAAGAGTGCTGCTAAACGAACCTTAAAATTAACCGAGTACACCATGCTATAAAAGTATATGTTGAATTACTGATTTACCCTAATATAAAATGACCAAAAGTGATATATGGAATTGTGAAACAAATATAATTTTAATAAGTACACCCTACTAATCATATTCAACCCTAATCAAGAGATTGCTTGTCCTATTGTGTTTTTAACGAAAGAGGTGGTGATTGCAAGAACTTGGAATTGCAAAAAATAGTGTCAACAATTTTAGTAGAAGCATAAATCCATATGAAAAGTCAAATATTTATAAACACTATTAAAAAAATCAAGCTGAAAATCAACTATAAAATAATGCTACAAGTATTATGGTGTACTAGGGGTATTTTTGATAGTTCTATAGGGTGTACTTAGTTAATTTTAAATTTTAATTAAAATATTAGGGTGTACTTAGATCATAGGGTGTACTCAGTTAATTTTAGGATTTGTTTAGCAGCACTCTTTATTAATTCATATCGGACTTTTAGTCCGAAAAGATCCTTCTAATAACACCATGTCACTATGTTCCATGTCAAGTCATCTTTCTAGGTTTTTTATTTATATGCATGGGGTGCTGAAAAGATCCTTCCAAAGCTTGATCTGACTATTTCAGCCTCATTTTAAGTTAAAAGTAACAATGTATTCATCTCAAAATCTAACAAAACTCAAATCCAAGGATCCATGAATGTTTTCCTTAATTTTATTTATTTATTTAAAAAAAGGTACATTATAAACCTTGAATTTGTCACACGACTCAGATTCGGATTTAGACGGATACAAAGTTTAATGAAACTACTCCAGTACGCATAAAAGGGGAGAAGAAATTGAACACATTGGGAAAAACATATTAGTGTAAAATGTATCTTAGAGTGCCAATAACACTTCTTTCGACCCCAAAAAAAATGCCAATAACAGCTCTCAATAAAATAAAAAGAACTTGGACGGGGATTGCAAATGCCAGTCAATGCCAGTCACTCGATTATTTCTTCACCTTGTGCTTCATTTTTGCCTTCTCTTTTTCTTTTCTTTTCAACTCTTCACGCTTCTTCTTCTCCTTCTCTTTTTTCCTCTTCATCTCCTCTTGTTCTTGCCTCTTCTTCTCCTTCTCTCTCTGCTCCTTTTCTTCTCTTTTCTTTTTCTCCTTCTCTATAGCTTTCCTTTTCTTTTCTCTCTCTTTAAGTTCCTCCTTGGTCAATTCTCTTCCTATTTTGAAACACATTTCGTTTTAGAGGCTTACAATTTCCTTTGTGAAAGATTTCAGATCAATGAATATATATATACACGGTGGCTTGGTTATGTATTTTTCTGGGTTGGTTTTGAGTGACAGCCGTCTCATTTGTTGTTGCAGACGCAAGGCTTTCCTTATCATCTATACTATTTGCCGTCCAAAAGGGCATTTTAGTGGTGACATTGCTATGTTGTATTCAGGACTTCTAAAGCCATTGCTGATGGCCTTTCATGTCCCGATACATCTCTCTTGATTATTTATAATATTTTATGGTCAATTATCCCAAGATGACCTTGTTTTAATGGCAAAGCCGAAAGCTAAGATCCCACATTGACCCTATTTTCACCATTTCTTCGACTCTTAGACATTACAGACAACAAATGATTCGGCACTGCCGCAAGCAAAATTAACATTGGAGATTTCATTAAAAAAATATCTTATAAACTTTTCTACTGTGCATATTACATTCCAAGGAGAAGAGAATAGGGCAGAATCAGGCTGAAGTGTTTTAATGGAGAAAAGCATAACGAAATTTTAACTTGGCTACAAAAAAGTTTTCTACCTCATCCTGTCGAATCTAATGTGCTACAAAACTCTCTATGGTTCAATACTTTTGTTTAGCCATATTCTATTTACCAATACAGAACTTGCCAAAAATGTTGGACAAAACCTCCTCTGAAATGTCTTCTCCACTTATCTGACCAAGGGCGATTGCCGCATCCCTCAAATCAATTGTCCAGAAGTCCAAAGGCATTTCCTCTTCTATTGAGGATTTCAACCTCACGAGGGCCTCCTTGGTTCGAACAAGCTGCTCGCATTGTCTCTGAAGATTCATCAAAATTTTAATGCAACAATGAATCAACTGCTAATCATAATATAATTTTTTTATACTCTAATAGGACTAGTCAAAGGATCAATCCAAAGTGAATGCATTTTCTACCTTCAAATCTGAGTAAACAAGAGAGAACAACGCAATTATGGGAGTAAAAAACCAAACACACATGCTGATGTATAGGTAGCTAACCTGGTTTACAGTCCATCTGCGGCTCCCCACAGAATTTTTGTTGAGACCGACGATCTCTAATATTGCTGTCTCTAAACCTTGGATTCCTTGACCAGTGACAGCAGATGTCAAAACATGCTTACTGAATGAATTGATATATTTTTTAACCCACTCCATGCAATCAGATGGAACACAGTCTATTTTGTTAATTACAAGGATCATTGGGGTGGAAGATCCAGTTGATTTCTGTAATACCAGACAGAAAACAACGATTTATTGTATATCCTAAGCGTAAATTTGGGTAATAAAACAGAATGATTGATAAACAAAAGGAGATGTTCATATTATATGATACAGAGAGTGAAAGGAAACCTTATTAGATTGAATTCTATTAAGAAGTTCGGAGTCTTCTGGAGCCCAGCCATCAAGAGCACTTATTGCCATAATAATAACATCAGCACCCATAGCAACTGCTTCAGACCTCTCCACACCTGTGATAAAGACAGTCAAGGAAATTCAGATACACAATACCCAATGCTAGATAGGGTCACCATACATCAACCAATAAGCATATCATTCCTCAAAACAGAACAAATCTAAAACAAAACATATCATTGGTTGTCTGTGAAAAATATCAACATTTCACTTGGGCAACTGGTCTGGTTTAAATCACCAAACTCTATGAGATAAATGCATGGAATGTAAACTATTAAACTACTAAACTAGTAAAGTTTTCAATACAAAATCAGAACTGTAAATGTGCTGTGTTAAAACAAATTCATAAGGCAATGCAGATTCTTGAGGGATCTCATGACAACAAACTCAACACAGAAGAAAATGAGTTATTTCACAAATTCCCAATGGCCCTACTAGTTCAAAAGGATCAATATTGAAAATAACCAAAATCTTATGCTAATGGAAAAGAAACCTAGATATGAGGTGAACTTGGCTTCTTGTACATCTGGCATGAAATCAACCCAAGATCCCTACACATCAAGATTGTACAAAGACGGATAGCCCTACCAATTTTCTCCACAATGTCATTGGTTTCTCTGATGCCAGCTGTATCAAGAAGGGTTACAGGAATGCCATGAACTGTAATACTGGCTTCAACCACGTCTCGAGTGGTGCCAGCAATTTCTGTAACTATTGCTCTCTCAGTCTGCACGCTAAAATAAAAAAGTGGCACTCAGTAACATCTCATACATCAAGTAATTACTAAACATAACAAAATGTTTTAATGGGATCCTAAATACATCCAATACTTGAGATGTTATTGATGCTGCATAACTCCAGCAATTCATTAAGCAAATAAGGACTCATGTAGGAATTAATGGCAATCACCCCCTCTCAAAAAAAAAAAAAAAAAAAAAAAAAAAAATAAAATAATACAAAAACCACCATCACTTTGCTCCACATACTTTGCATTGAGGAGACTTGACTTCCCAACGTTTGGACGGCCCAGAATTGCTATCTGCAAATTGTATTTAGAATGTCATAAAGCAAAGCCAAATGAGGAAGAAAATGTGAGAATGAGAAATCCATTTTGAAAACTGCACCTGTATTCCAGATTGCAGAAGTTGGTCATAATTGGCTGTCTCGAGAGCACTCTCAACATCTTCTGACATGGAATTTATTTTCATCACAACTTGGTTCGTATCAAGTGGTGGCATCTCATCATCAAAATCCAAACGGGCTTCAATTTCTGTAAGCAACTCAATGCACTGAGCTCTTATAGATTTTACCATGGAAGAGAAGCCACCCTGTCAAAGTTCAAATGTTTTTTTTATAAAAAAATTTCCGGGTTAATTATCATTTACCCCAACTAAGGCTCGCATAAATATTAGTGGCAACCAGTTTCAGAAAGCAGGAACGTATAAATTATACAGACAAACAAAGACACATGCCTGAATTGCAGCCAGTGCTGCATCTGCTGCAGCTACGGACTTAGCCGAAATGAGCTTGTCAACATTTTCAGCTTGAGTTAGGTCCAAGCGGCCATTGAGAAATGCACGCAGAGTAAACTCACCTGAAAGGAAAAACAAAAGCACACATCGTTAGTCTTTCATTTACTTGTATTCCAAAAGTCCAAAATTTTCAAGCTAAAATTCCAAAAGCTCAAAAATTTCAAGCTAAAATTCCTAAAGTTAACATTCTGAGCTAAAAATAACGACCTGGTTCGGCAAGCCTTGCTCCAGCTTCTACACAAGCTCTCAAGACGCGATTAAGGCACACTTGGGTTCCATGGCATTGCAGCTCAACCACGTCTTCACGCGTATAAGACCTTGGGGCCAACATGGGCACAGCCAAAACCTGAAAGCAACCAAAACCCATGTCCTGTATCATTCACAGAATTCAAATTTCAACTCCATTCAGTGAAAGTGAAATTGAAAAGTATAGTACCTCGTCGATGACATTGCCGTTGGAGTCGCAAACGACGCCGTACTCAACCACATGGCTAGTGGGCCGCCATGTGCTCACCGTCTTCTTCCTCTTCTTCTTTGTCTGACGGAACACGCGGCCAACAATGGCCACCGCAGATGGACCCGACAGCCGCACAATCCCAACCGCGCCAGGAGGTCCCCCCAGTGACGTCACGATTGCCGCGATGGTGGTGGTGGTCTCCAGCTGCCGGGACCCACTCGCTAATCGCTCGTCTTTGCTGAGGAGCAGCGTTTGAGGCTGGGTCTTTTCTGGGTAAGAGCTAGTGAAAGAAGAGCAGTGGCACAAGGGTAAGTAGAGTGGGGAGCGAGGGTGGAGTTTGAGACGCTTGGGGGTGAGATGGGAGATTGAGAGAAGAGAGAGTGAAGTGGAAGCTATGGCGAATAGTGGTGGTTTCAGTTTGGGGCTTCTGTGCAGAAAATGGCGGAAGCTGAAAGTGGAGAGCAGAGCCATTGATGTCTTTGTTTTCGGGTCAACGGCGATTCCGAGTCTTCAGAACTCCGCTAGTTTTCTAGTAGTGGAATTGGATTGGGTGGGTTGATAAAATCCACCAACCCACAACCATGGGCCTTGACTTAATTCTATATGAGCCCAAATTGGATTAAGTGGGCCCACTAAAAGTCCATGATGAGCAGAAAAATTTGTGTGAAACGGGATAACATTGTTTTGCTCTCCCAATCAATCACGAGTGGAAAAGTTATCATACACCATGATTGGAGGGATGACAAAATAATGTTATCCTTATTCCACGAAAGTATTTCTCCAAAATGGGCCCATGAGTTGTGGAGTCTTAAGTCACTAATCATGACCAATTTGCACACTTCTTCCTCTTTTTGGAGAGGACAATATGGATAAGGGGAAGTTATCATCAATCATCATCTCCCATTCCTTATCCAAGTTAACTTGGGGAGTTTGTAATCTAGGAGAAGAGAAAAACTTGCATATCTTGGAAGTATGCAATAGTTATGTTTTGGCTATCGATGGTTAATGTCCGGTGCAATAACAGTTGGGTTTGTTGGGTTCTATTTTTTACCATGAAATGGAATTTTGATTAGTAAGAATCCGGTTACATCAAAGTTTTTCTCTTACGTGACTATTTCTCTCATTATATGTCTATCATCATATGACCTAACACATGATGAAATAGGTACCATTAATGACATGTTTACTAATCTGTAATTGGATTAGAGGGAATTGAATTGAGGAGAATTAGATTTCGGATTTCTATTGAAGTTGTTTACTAAATCATATGGAATTGGAGTATAAGTGGAACTAATTACTAAAATGTCCTCGTTGTTGGGTTAAAGAAGATGGCAAATTTTAAAATTTTAAAATTGTGTGAAGATATAATGAGTAAAAAAGATGAATTTCTAATAGGTTAGTTATTCGGGAATTAGAATACCATATCCCACTTAAGAATTGAACTCCTTCAAAATCAGGAATTTAATTCCTAATTTTGCATGGGCTCCATTTACTTTTTAATTCTTTGATGTGAAGTAAACACAGGAATCCTCTATAGGTGGAATTCAATTCCTAATAAGAATTTCAATTCCTTATTAGTAAACACACCATAAGTTTTACTCATGATCAAGTTTATACATAAAAATTAATGATCATCCCTAATTTATGGGAAGGGCACCATATAAAAATACACGGTACTAAACTTTTTCCTTTTCTTTGGTAAAAAGAAATTCCAAAGTTTAGGATATTGACTCGTACGTGAAGAACAAATGCTTTAGAATTCAATTCAGCAATACCTTTGACATTGTTGGATTGGTGCAGAACCCACCTAATGTGAAAAAGTTGAGTTTCTATAGCTTTATGTCCAAGTGAATATAGTGGAGGATTTTAGGTGGGGTGGAAATGGGAGCTTAACTTCTTCACAAAGTAGTCTAACAGCTGTTAAGCAGCAATATAGTGGAGCATTGCATAATTGCATATAACTTACCAATGTTCAAAGCTAGGATTTCTCCTTTCCACAAAATCTAGAACACATTCATTTTTAGGTTTACTTCTCAAATAACAGCAAGGTTCTTTTCTACCTGAAATACCACCTGAGAGAATCATATCTTTTAAAGAAAGACATAAAAGAATAGTTATCTTGTGCTGCAAAAATACCCTCACTTTATATCCCAACACTTTTCTCACAATTTGAATCAACCCAGAAATGAATATAGCTTCCTTTGCATCTACATTCATCCAAATCCAACAGCCTAACCAAATTCTCTTGTTCCCTTGAGCCCAAATCTCTCAACCAAAAAAAGAAAAAGCACTTGCATTCACTCTGCCAAACTGCTTGTGTCATCATTCTTTATAAATATGGTTTATAAAACTGAAAATGTAGCATCACTTGTTTAATATAATTGTTTATTAAGATATGATTAGCTAGCTAATTAACCCAATTACATGTTGGTGGGTGTTGGATCATATTTAATTAAGGCTTGGCCATGGAGTCAATGGCACAAATAAGAACTTGGCTTGAAGAAGGGATATTGGGAAATTTCCAAGGTGCAATGTAAGCACAGAGATTCTAAGGATTTTGATACTTCAAGCCACAATCTTATCTCTTACGCAACGTGCAAAATCATCTTCCTCTTTCTAGTTTTTTATATTTTATTAGGATTATCACTACTTTTTGGGGATGAGGAGGATCCCACTCCCCACTTAATTTACCTGCTGCTGCTCTTTTATCCCATCACTTAACTGGACCTATTCTTCTTTCTTATTCCTCATTCTAGTATCCATATATAGACTAGATACCGCACTCTATTCTTCCATGTCTTATTTAATTTCTCTGATGATACCAACTACACTTTTCAATTTCATCAAGCTTGTTCCAGCAATTTGGGTAAATGAGAGAGAGAGAGAGAGAGAGCTGCTACAAGTTTGGGAGCAAATTTCATTTTGTTCTTGCCCTGCAACCAGATTTTGCAAAAGTGGAGCAAAATAGCTTGCTAGGGTTCTTCAAAGCATGCAGGTAAGGCAATTTGGTTTGATTCAAAGCATGTATCTGCATTAAATTAGAAAATGAAGATTGTACAGAGAGTGACTTATGCATTCAGTAAAGCCTGCCAAACAAGCACAAAAATCATGAGAAATGAGTTCTTTTCAAGTTTCATGATCTTTATTCTTTTAGTTTCTGGTCACCTAATTATCTCAAAACTTCAACATGCAATTCAATAATGAGTGAGTCCACCCCTACCCATTTCCAAATTAAAGGGTTCAGGTGACAGTTGATTGAAGTTTATTTTGTTTTTTGTTTTTTTCTCTTTTTGTTGAGATTAGATGTATTTTAGGTTTTATGCAGATAGTGTAATATTCTCATGCCACTTGGAAACACAGGAATATTGCTACATATATCTAGCTTGGTTGGAAAAGCTTCTGCTCCAGGTTAGTTCTTCACCTATTTCCTGTGAAATCATAATAAAGTAACAGAGAAATCCCAAGCACAGGTAGAAGCCCACCATCTAATGAAACAATTTAAATTTTTTGCTGACCCATTGGTAGTTAGGCCAAACCCATTTTCTAGTCCAGTTTGGCAACCAATATTTACATATTGGCTCCAAGTATTTATATGGGTTGGACTGAGTTGGGGTTTACTTCTCATTTCTATCACCTTCTGGGTTAATTGCCTAGTCAAATTTTTGCTTATAGAGCTCACATGTAAAGATGTGTATGTTGGGGATGGTTTTTGTGTTGACCAATACTAGTCCCCTCATTGGTTGAGCTAAGTGTCTAATTATATAGGTATATATAGTTGTAAGTTTTGAAACCTTGCAAGTATGGTGTTAAGCGTAGAGTATTAGCCTAATAGTAATAGTGACTAACAGCCTAGTGTTTTTTGTTTAAAATTTTTTTATATAAACAAGCTATATTGGGGGAGGGAGAAATCGAACCTAGGACTTCAAGTGAAGAGATAAATGCTCTTAATCACTTGAGCTAAGTTTAATTCTTCCCTTTATTTTTTTTTCAAGCAACAGTTTTAGTATAAACTGAAAAACAACACCATTTAGCCAGAAAGGCTGTAACATCCATGGTCTTGAACTCTTGCCCATGTAGAAGAAAAGCATACAAATCTATATTTAACAACAAAAACAAGAGTGTTGGCACTAGATATTTGCCAAAAGTAAGAATGCAAAATGCATTTTATCAATCTTCTTCAATACGTCGGGGATACAAGGCAGTGAGCTAGAAATCAAAACTATAGATAGCACGAAGGTTGAGGTTACAATCTTAACGTAAGGGGGAGAGAGAGAGAGAGTCAACAGTTAGATTCTCATTCTATGTACATTTTTCTGTATTTTAAACACCCTTTATCGCTTGGAGTGCACCTTTTTATGTTGTTATCTTTTACTTTTTACTTGCGTTGGACCCAGGCACGCCAAACCACTTTCATAATTTGATTCCCCACCATGCACTACTCAACTGCACCTCCAATTCAAAAGTGCATACTTGTGCATCCCATTTCTCTCTCAAACAACAATCACATTCCATTTTGATCTCAAGCTTCTTCCACCAATTTTGGAGAACAGGATGAGACAGCCTCTGCAACCGTGAGAAAAATCCTGTCTTCACCGATCAAGTTTGCGACATGGGATGCATGAATCTTATCAATCACCACTGGACCAGGATTTGCAAGAACAAGCTGCAGGGCAAGTTTGGAGGTAAGGCAACTTGAACCAATTCATATCGCATACAACAACAGTGTGATTTTTGTCAACTGAAGTACAAGATGACATAAGATGATTTAAGCATGCATGTGATTTACCTGAATGTCTCTCTTTCGGAGACTACTATGCAACTCTTCTAGGGCATGAATGCCACTGGTGTCGATATCAGTCACAGCTGCAGCAAACACAAGACACCGTGAGAAACGAGTTTATGAAACCAAGAGTGATGAATCACCCTATAGGCTGTTTGGTTTTAAAGATCAGAAAACTGCTTACGTGACATTTCAACTATCAAAAACTCAATGCTTGGTAGGTATGCTTCTTTTAGCAGTTCTTCTTCATCCGCCAACCATCTCAATATCCTGCAATTAGGAAGTTGAACTTCAGCACCAGAGGACTGGCAGTATGTCTAAAAAGACTGTAAAAATCAAATTCAGACAATTTCTAGGTTCTTTCTATGTAAAGGTCATATAGACTACCAGAACTAACATGACTTATATACACCATACTGCCAGTTTTGAGTACAAAATCTTTAAAAATTCGAAGAAACAGCTTAGTAACAGTTTAATCTTTAACAGCCAAAGGAAAATATGCTCTCTCCTTTTCTCCTTTAACACTTATCTCCCTGTGGGAACTCCCTCAATTTATGATTCTTTTAATCATAATGAATTTAGAGCAGCTGTCAATTTAAGGCAATCAGAAGTTGCCTTTATATAGATGACAGGTCATAGAATTACCCCTTTTTTTTTTTAATAACTTAAGAATTACCACAAAGAACTAATTGAACCGAGGATACAGAGAGAGCATATGTACCTCTCCTTAATGTAGTTGGAGTTAGAAAAGTAAATTGCAGAATCAACTCTCACAATCATAACACCTGGAACCTTGGTTGCTTCTGGATATTGTTGGATGTTTCTATACACAGTTGTGTTAGGAATCTTCCCAAGTATTGCAGTCCGTGGTCTGGTAACTTGTAAGAGGATTTTAGCGAATGATATTGAGACCTGGACACAAACATATGTTAACTTGTATCACTGATCTCTGCATGATAGTATTGGAAACACAAAGTAGTTAACAATGATGATTTATACCGCTATTAAGAGGCCTATCTCAACAGATGCAAAGATTACACCAAAGAAGGCTCCCATGCAAGCCACAAAATCAAATTTATCAATCTTCCATATAAGGATTGCTGCTTGGAAGTCGATTAGGTTGATCACAGCAGATATAATGATGGCAGCGAGAATGGCATTTGGGGTGTACTTAAAAAGAGGTGTAATGAATTGCAAGGTCAGGAAAACAACACAGGACATCACAATATTAGAGACTGCAGTTTGGCAGCCTGCCATGTAGTTCACTGCCGAGCGAGAGAATGAACCTGCAAGTACGAGCAATTAATCAGTTCCATGTCCTTAGTCACATGTCCCGCTAGGTACTATGTTCCAAGGTTTCAGGTATGCTTATTGCTTAACCCAAGAGTATCATTTTCAAAGTATTATGCATTAACTATATATTGGCTTTTTATCACAAATGGTCCTTCAGGTTTACAAAATTATCACGAATCGTCCTTCAGGTTTTTTTGTGACACTAATAGTCCTTCAGGTTATCATCCACCCATCAAAATAGTCCTTCTGTTAGTTTCTGTTAAAACTGAAGTTAAACTCACGTGCTCATCCTGTTTTTTGAAATATAATCTCATCATTCCACTCAACCTTTTTGACCAAACCCAACTGGGGGGAAAATGAGCCTTTTAAGGTACTATATGAGGGGCAAAACGACAGTGAGGTTGAAGAGGAACAAGATGAAGATGAGGAAGATCCATTGGACATAGACTTCATAGATAGTGACTATGAGCAAATAGGAGAAGCTGAAGAGATTGAGATCGATAATAATATGTTTGAGGAAAATATAGATAATCCGATTGAAGAGGAGCCTGAAGAGATGGGTTTTGCAGGGGAGATTTCAGACCATTTGGAAAACTCTGAGGATTTTCATAGCAATCATGGGTATGATGAATCTGATGTGGATGATGAAGTTAGCAGCAAGAAGAAAAAGACCATAGTTCCTAACTATCAACAATGGAGGAGAGAGTCTATGTTGAGGAATCCAAGCTTTGATATTGGTATGCACTTTCCTAACAAAAGTCAATTCAAAGAGGCTGTGATTGCAAGATAGAGTTCTGACAGTTGGGTTTGGTCGAAGGTTGAGTGGAATGATGAGATTATATTTCAAAAAGCAGGATGAGCACGTGAGTTTAACTTCAGTTTTAATAGAAACTAACAGAATGACTATTTTGATGGGTGGATGATAACCTAAAGGACTATTAGTGTCACAAAAAAACCTGAAGGACGATTCGTGATAATTTTGTAAACCTGAAGGACCATTTGTGATAAAAAGCCCTATATATTTATAATCCATCTTCAAAGTTTTTAACTGTCAAACTTTTGCATTAAAAAATATCTTAGCCGGCTAGAAGCTTAGAACAAGAGACTACGGCACAAATATGCGTTCCTAATTATTGGTGTTCATCACTGTCCAAATAGTATCTAATTTATATAATTTAAATGGTACTTTCTTCTCACCTGTCGACACGTAGCAGGAAGTCATTGAGCCAACAATGTTCATGGTTCCTAGAGCTACCATTTCTTTGTTTCCATCTAGTTGGTAGTCCTTCATGGTAGCAAAAGTTCTTCCAATTGCTATAGCTTCCTGACAATTCACGCCAATTAGAAAGTGTTAGATACAAAAAGAGATATCAATTTTTCTCTTGGTAAGAGGAAATGGGTTATGAGATTGCTCACTGTTAATGCTATCATCCCAGCCACAACACCAATCTTAAAACCCTTCGCGAGATAGTCCCCGGTAAAAAATATCTCATTCACAGATGGAGGATTGATTCCTTTTTCGATATGTCTCACCTTCATACATAGATAAACCATTAGTATTGCTTCTGGTAACTGCCAATCAGAAGTACTAAATAGTATGAGAAACGAGGAAGAGAAGATTATAACATAGGGACTTACAATTTCAACCCCATTCTTTTCTGCATGAGTTATGTACACAAAAAAGGTGGACAGGATAACCGATATCAGCGGGGCAATTGCTGGGACCCAGAAGAGATTCTTCTTCTTCTTTCCCTGCTCCCCAAAACATGTGAAAATCAGACAAGAACTAACAAGCTTGAATCATATTAAGTAAATAGAGGGAAAGTTTGGGAATTCTTACAATATATTTGGCAAACAAAAGAAACGTTAAAAATGATGCTCCAATGACCATTGTCTGCCAGTTCCACTGCAAAATTTTGTCATGTAGGATTCAGTAACTTGATGTTGTAGTCAGTCAAAAAGAAAAACTTGATGTTTCAGGTTTCAGATCCTAGTGGAAAAATACATAAACAAATGAGTTAGAGAGGTAGATAGAAATTACCCCATGATGCGCCGACTGAAATACTGATTGCATTACAGAGACAATATCAGTTTTCTTTGTGAAATTCTTTATGCCAAGAAAACCCTTAAGCTGTTGGAGTGCAATTGTGATGGCAGCTCCGCCCATAAATCCAACAATGGCAGCATGAGATAGGAAATCAATCAAGAACCCCATCCTGATAACAAAAAGAAAACAAGTATAATATTATCCACTAAGAACGGAAAGCTAAAACGCCTTCAGAGATAGAATAAGAATTAAGGTAAGAAACAATTAAGATGTAACTTCCCTTTAAGAATCAGAAAGCTGAAGTAGACAATTACCTCAAAATCCCAAGGGTAGCTTGGGTGATCCCAGCAAAAAAGGTAGCCGTGAACGCCAGCCTCCGGTAATCTACTGGATTTGTAGTGGGGTCAATCTCATTCCGGAGCAAGGTACCCAACAGCAGAGACACCACAGCCACAGGTCCGATGGCTATATCTCTTGAGCTGCCCATGATAGCATAGATCAACGGTGGAACAAAGCTCGAGTCTGTAAAGGTTTGGAACAACAGAAGAGAAGTCTCAGTCTCACAACAATATCCAAGGAAATCAGTTATAAGAGAGGAAGGTGTTGTTGAGTAGCATAGATACTTACACAATCCATACTGGGGAGCCAAGTTTGCAAGTTTTGAATAGCCAATGTCCTGATTTTCCAGTTGAGAACAATCATTAGAACCAACCATGAAAATGGAAAATGACATAAATTAGCTATTCTTTTATTGTTCCCTTCTATCTGTTCATCTATTAAGCTGCTAAGTTACCTGAGGGATGCAGAGACTAGCAATAGTCAGTCCAGCAATTAGATCCCCCCTAAATTTCAACAGATCATATCCTCTCCCCCATTCAAATATGGGGAAGATGGCCTGCACGCCAAGGATGAACTTTCGCGACTTTGGCTGATGCTTGAAGGGCCTTAGAGGATCATCTGAAAAGAATGTTTCTTTGATGGTGTTTGTGAATTCCTTGAAGAGTTTTTGCTTTGGGGGAAGTCCTACTTTGTGAATGTAAGGTGTGCCCTGTGAATGATTGCGAGAAGATGACATACTTCTAGTGTCCATCTCTTTCGTTTCAAGGTCTTCGTCGTTTGAATGAACTGAAGCCATGAATGATCAGTTCACCTGTATGCAGGAAACAGCAAAAGAAATCATGAGCAGACAGATAAGAACAGAGACTCCTATTTATAAACAAAATGATAGAGCAAAAGTGTGAAGGGCTGAAATAAACCACTAGGAGCAGTTTCTAGTTGCATGCAGAAGGTATGTTTTTTTGACACCCTCTACCTTCAACGTTTTAAAGATGGTGATTAATCAACTAGTTCATGGGAATATTTTTGAGTGAAGACCTATTCAGTCAATGCACATATCTCAAAAGAATCCATGGCTAATAATATGACAACACTTAAGAAACAAAACTTGTCCGCCAAAAGTGATAGTTATAGAAACTGACTCTAACCCAATGAGAAGAATGGATGCCAGAGAAGGCTTTGCGCAAATAATTGTTTGAAAGTACACACAGGCTTACGTGAATGCTGAAGGAAGCTAAGAAGCTCTTCCTTATATAAGCACGTAAAAAGGACTTCTGGTCAAACTTTTCAAGCTGAAAAGTCACAAGCACAAAAAAACGCATTAAGGTGTGAATCTGGATCTCTAACAACAAAGTTTAGTAAAAAAAGTTTCAATCCCAACCAGCCGACGGTTTGATTATTCAATTTCTGGTGTGATGTGAGCAAAGTGATCATCATTTCTTCCATAATTGTAGTGCTTAGGGGTACAATATGTTTTCAAATATTGAAATATGGTGTTGACTTAAGTGCACGGATGGCAGCAGCTAGAAAACCAGAAGCATATATCCTTTCTATTTAATTATTTATTAGGCCTTGTTTTTCGACCTTAAGTCCATCCCAACAGACACTACAAGTCTAGAAGTAGATGTTTGGTGTCTTAAAAGAAAAAAACAAAAAATATAGAATCAAATTCTTACTTATGGTCCCATTTTGGGGTAAACCCCTGTTATTCTTGTTCAGTAAACCCATGGCCTACCTTGCTTTTCACCTAATGTTGAGAATTTTGTGAGGACAACAAAAGGGTTTGACTGAACAGAGACAAAATGGAAACGAATGTAAGAAGGGGGGGAAGAAATAAAGGGTTTACCGATCTTCATTGAGAGAAGAGGCGCAGTTGTTGATATAAGCAATACACCTTGTTATAGACAGCTATATGCATACTTTTTTCATTTTTTTTTATTTTATATATTTATATATTGGATTCTTCACACTAAGTTGAAATTACAATCACAATGTTCATTGATGCTGATATGAAACAATAGAAGCAGCAGCATCCAAGGCTTTAACTTTAAAACTAGTGTCACAGAGGAAATATTCTATTCCCATAAAGGATTAAAACCCTACTTTATCTCTAAATCTGCATAGAAGTTCAATAATCAATTATGCCACTTTGGAATTCCTTAAAAGCCAACTTGACCAATTCTATTGAACTGCACAATAATCTTTAAACTATTTGGTTTTGATATTAACACCACCCCAATAAAACTCTTTAATCAGAGTCTTTCTTGTTCATGGTTTCCAAATATATTGCTCATTCAAAAGTTTAGTTTAACAGATTGCAGAAAGAATAAAACCAGAAACAGATGATGATAAATATGAACCAAAGACCTACAAGACATTGTTTTTTCTTCTCTCTGTTTTTTTTATTTTGGGTGCTGGGTCTTTTTCCAAATTGCATATATGTGTTTGGTATGGAGAATAAAGTCTAAATCAGAGTCTCTCTTACCTCCTACATATGCTTCTCATGAAAACCACTGATAGTGGGGGGGTACAATTATGCCTATCCAAAAGGTCTTCCTCTCTGAAAAAATGCACTTGAGCTCAGAACTCCTGTACAAAGGGGAAAAAGAACCAAACAAATGAATAAAATATTGCATTAAAAAAATGGTTAGAAGCAAAAAAAATTACTATATAACATGCACAAAAAGGCAGAACCCAGCATGAGCTCCCCACCTTCTCTTTCTCTCCCACACTCAACGGTCCTCATGTTTCTGAGAAAAAAAAATTTCAATTTATAAATAATGGGCAATCTTTGAAGAAGCACAAGAGGAAGATTTAGATGGATAAAAAAACCCAGTTTTGTTTTTGTCTAGGTTCAATGTACCCAAAAATTGATTGTGAAACTCCTACCTGTAACACCTGTTCAGTGTTCAGGCATTGTTTAACAAAAAGAAAAAGTCCCCCAAAAAAGGGAAGCCCCAGTAAAATAGGAACCTTGTTTGGTTGCCGAGAAAATTATGTAACCAAAGTACCAAACTGAGCAGCTAGGAGGATCCCCAAAAATTACAGAGCTGAAATTAAAGCCACCAGGACAACATGAAATCTTTTATATTTTGGCACAAAATCTAGAAACCAAATTCACATTGGTTCACACAAATTGTAGTTGTATTATTGGACCTACTATTGTTATTGTTGAATTTTGAGAACGTGTTTGCTGAGGACTCAACTGGGGGCTCGATATTTACGGAACTGCCACGCGTCAAAATGGAAGATAAAGGAAGAAACGACTTGTTTGGCTGCCGTGTTTTATTATTGGACTTACTTTAAAAGAAACGTTTTTAGTTTGTTTTTGCGTTTCTTTCGTGGAGAAACGTCACAAATTCAAAGCCCTCCCTGCGCCCGTGTTATCTTATCCTCGATTTCAATTTTTCTTCGGAGTGGGCCCCGCCCCGCCCCGCGCGGGAAAAGTAGAACAAGGACGTTTGTGAGGCTAGGTTCGGGATGTGGCATATTGAATGAGGACTTTTCGCCAGTGGTTGACTGGGAACTTTGGGAATTTGATAATCAGTCCATTTGATCATCTGGGGTCATTTTGGGTAAGCATGGTTATTAGATAATTAGATTTTATATACTACATATGAATCATTCACCGAAAAAGAAAAAAACATACGTCACCAGTAACGTTCATCTCTCGTCAATTTTTTAATATTAATTTAACCCTCAATTGTTTATACAGTTGTGATGCAGATATAACTAATTACGATTACGATATCAATTATACATAGGAACTCTACAAAAAGCGATAGTCTAATTTGCTTTATATTAATCTAATTTACAGATAGGGATATTTGAATTGGATTTAAGGGGATGGGCTAAATGACTTGGCCAACTCACCTAACCCATGTGTTTTTTTTTTAAATAAATAAATAAATTATAATAATAATAAACTAAAGAGGCGATTTGAATTTGTGACTTACTTTAGTATTGAAAATAGAAATACCTCTCTCCCTCCCCTAAACTTTTTTTTTCCCAAAAAAAAGTAGAAATATCATAAGACAAATAGCTAAATGATTGTGGGAGCAAATATTCCGGCTTCCAATTACAAGGTACCACGTGAACAAGAAGAATATAAATGGGCTCAATAATTGAGCCCATTTATTTGGCCAATTAATTAATACCAAAAATAGGGATATTATCTTTATTTGGAAATATAATCAGCAATTAAAAGATAATATCATCAATTTATGATATTATCTTATTTTGATTATATTATCATCAATTAGGGATTTGATTCTAATTGAAATCCTTAATTGACTCAATCTCACCATTTAAGGGAAAATAATATCTTCCTTTCAATAGGAATTATTATTTGAAAAACCCTAGATGGCTAGAGCCCTATAAATACATAGCCACATTCAACACACAGGTAATCAGAAAACCTAGCTCTAAAACCCCCGAAACCTCTCTCTCTCTCCCTAGCTGTCAGCCACCTCCATTGCCACCGGCCACTTCCTCTCTCATCTTTCCCACATGGCTAAGTACATAGCTCCGGCCACTCGACTCTTCTCGTGAGAGAAAACTCAGTCCAGTTTAGCTATTGCCGCATCTTTTCTCAAAGATCCAATTGAACTAATTTAAGCATCGGAAGGCCTTTGGGCAACACCTCCACGTGTGGTCTTTTACTTATATTTGTTTTATAGGAATTGAAGAAAAGAGAAAAGGAAGCTCAAAAGGTGAAGGATCTACACACGAATATCATGTCATGAGAAATTTGCACAAACATTGATCATGTTAGGTATGTATGTATGTTGGAACACAATTTTATTATTTATTTTTTGGTTGAGAAATTTTGGGATTGTATTCATAATTCAGCCAAAAAAGCCACTAGCCACAAATAGCCAATATAAACTAGTTACACAAGGGCCATTACAATAATAGAGCGATAATAGAGCGATCTAACATCAAAATTAAGACAATCTGGTGTGCCTCCACTCGATCACGCACGATCAAAGAAACTCTAACTAATATTGCAAATTCAGAACAATAAGAAAAAAATATAAAGCTTGGAAAAACCAAACTATAACAATACAAATAAAACTCCCACAATAGGAGAAGTGTTTTTCATGAGAGAGAAAGCTAGGATTTTTGTTGTGTACTTTTCAAGTTCAATTTTTGGAACGCGTCTACAATAGGTTTAGTACATGCAAATTTTCCATCTTATTCTTTGGGTATAGCCATAGTCATTTTCAGTTCATAATTTTTTTTCCCTTTTTGGTACAATTTCAGTTGGTAATACTGATGAATTTGAATTATTATTTATTTACCTTTGTCATAGACAATTATCTGTCAAACTGCGTTGACATTTGAAATATGTTGACTAAAGTAAGTACTAATTTATACTTCGAAATGGCTTTAATTTTTACTTTTTTTTTAGGGGATAACATCGAATATACATGCATTGGCCTCAGAAAAAAGAAGACGAGCAGGAAAGAACCGAAGAATCTTCTCTCTCAATTACATAAACGAATAAGAATAAAATCAGACATGAGAAAACATCTGTCGCTCTCTCTCTCTCCTATTCTCGAGAAGTTGATATCTCACCTAACAATAAAATAAACAATAATAACGACGGAAATAAAATAAAAATATATATTATTACATGGATAGATAAAAGAGGATTATTTTCAACTGTACTTTTGTTTTTTTCTTCGGTCAAGAAATGGTACTTGCCTTTTAGATAATAGATGGTACAAATCCTAAAGTTTCAAGTCAAAGTTTTTGACAAATAGAAGGCCGAAGTTTATAGAATGGAATTTGCCC